CTGCATATCCTTTGCCCACATACATTCCCGATTTAGACAAAACTAGTTTGTCCGACTCAAAAACCATGCGAAAGCCATGTTTGTTCAACAACGAACCGGAAATCAGGTTTTTGCGTATTTCCGGAACGAACAAAACTTGGTTTAGAGTCAGCTCCTTGCCCGAAGTCATCTTCAGGAACACCTTTCTCACGCCTTCAACCGCGGAATGAGCCGAGTTACCCATCCACACTTTCTCACCATTTGATGGCTCAAAAGTTGTGAATAACTCCCGGTTTGAGCAAATATGTCGTGTTGCACCGGTGTCCACGAACCACTCCTTGGAATTGGATCCAACGAGGTTGACCTCGGTCACCACAGCCGCAAGGATGATGTCTTCATCCTTTTACCCACCTTGCACCAAGTTGACTTGAGAGTCCCTCTTCTTCTTGGGTGCCTTGCAATCCGCTGACTTGTGTCCGTTTTTATTGCAATTGAAGCATTTTCCATTGAACTTCGTCTTGGAAACGCCTCCCTTGGGACCGAGCTTGCTCTTCCCATTATTTTTATTTTTGGAGCCTTTTGCATGCTCCACCACGTTGGCCTTGGCGCCATGAACAATTGGGAGTTTCCCATCGTTCTTCCGGTTATCCTCTTCAATCCACAGACGGAGGATCAATTGCTCCAAGTTCATTTCCTTTCGCTTATGCTTAAGGTAGTTCTTGAAATCCTTCCAAGCCGGCGGCAATAAATGGATAATTGACGCCACTTGGAAAGACTCACTAACTGTCATTCCTTCATCTCGAATTTCGTTGAAGATCATTTGCATCTCCTCAACTTGACTCAAGACCGTCTTCGAATCCACCATTTTAAAGTCAAGGAATCGACCAACAACAAATTTCTTTGCGCCGGCATCCTCGTTTTTATATTTGTGGTCCAAAGCATTCCATAGCTCCTTAGCCGTAGCTAGTTTGCTATATACGTCGTACAAAGCATCATGCAGCCCGTTCAACACATAGTTTCGGCAAAGGAAGTCCGAATGCTTCCATGCCTCAACCGCGTTGAAAGATTGCGCATCCACCTCACCCCCGGTTGCTACCGGCGCATCTTCGGTCAAGAATCTAGCAAGACCGAGAGTAGTGAGGTAAAATAGCATCTTTTGCTGCCACCTCTTCAAGTTTAACCCGTTGAATTTCTCGGGTTTCTCCACAGAGTTGCTTGGCACGGTCACCATAGGGATAGCCCTTTGGTTGGCCAAAGTAGATGCACCGCTTTGTGAACCATTGTTCACCGGTGCTCCACTTTCAGAGTGATTGTCGTTCAGAACATTCTGCCCAACACCAATCTCGTTTTCTTGAGAAGTCATTTTCGTTCTGTAACGTTTTTCCGAAAACACCAAAAAATAAGTTCGTTCACCAAAGTGACAAACTACGATTTAAGATTGTTTACCTCAGTAGAACAATCAAGAAATACGTTTTAAGATTGTATCCGTATGATACAAGCTCAACAAATACGTTTTAAGATTGTTGGGTGTGTTTCGGAAAATAAAGAAAATTAATTAAAATAAATTAATTAAATAAAATGACTAGAGAAAAACAAGAAAGGAGATGAAGCAGAATTAGTCAAAGCTCGTGCTACGCACGATGTCCTTAAAACGTATTTGTTGCCTCCCACAGTGGTAGGAGCGTTGCAACAATCGTTTCCCAGGATACGATGACTACGAACTAGTGTTTGAGCACACAAACAAGAGTTCCAGCGAACGAGAACCAAGTAAGAACACAGAAGGAATTTTCAGAGTAGCTGTAGGTGTTTTTAGCTCAAGAAATTCGTGAGGAAAGTATTGTGCGTTGTGTCAAACCGTGTGTTTGTTGCAAAGCACCTGGCAGCTATTTATAGGAGGATTTGTTGTGTGTTAAATGGGGTGTTAATGGACCTGAACGTTGGACATCAATGACCAGTCTGTTGGGCATTGAATCGTCCATAAACTGTCCATTTAACGCATCATTAAAAGAGAAGAACGTTGGGCATTAATTGTTGTAACGGAAAAAATGCATGACAGAAGACCCCTTGGAGGGTTTCTGTCCGAAGCCAACAGAACACCTCTTGGAGGGTTTCTGTCCGAAGCCTGCAGAACACCCCTTGGAGGGTTTTTGTCCGAAGCCAGCAGAACACCCCTTGAAGGGTTTCTGTCCGAAGCCAGCAGAACACCCCTTGAAGGGTTTCTGTCCGAAGCCTATTTTGGACGGCATTCGTATCCGCAGGTCGCCCGCGCACACGAGTCGCGGTTTTTCTTCTCCGTTTCGGGATTTGATCGGCACCCCCCCTGCGCGTAAGAGAGAGCCTTTCCCTTTAGGAATCTTAACTCCTTAAAAGAGGCTTCCCTTTATAAGGGGGTGAAAATCCCTTGAGTTTTTCGGTGTGGGATAAAACACACTAGAAACTCATCATTTTTCCCAGTTTTTCCATTTCAACGAGTGAACTTCGAGAATCAATTTCTCATTCACCCGTTATCCGTTTTGAGTGTACCACATATCGAATTGCAGCCCTTAACAAGGACAATCCGAAACCACTTTGACCCGACCCAAATCGGAAGTGGACCTCACTCAAATAATTGCCCCAAAATGACCATTTAATGCAATTTTTAACACATTTTTCCAACACCGCCCTCCAACAAGAATTTTTTTAGTGTATATATATATATGAAAAATAATTTTCTCCCCCCGAAAAAATATTTTGAACCCCCAAAAAATATTTTCACCCCCAAGATGATTTTCCTAGGTCCGCCCCTGTGAAGAGAAACATTGCAGCTAAGGTTCTCAAAAGACCACAATGATTAATTTAATTTATGGCCGGAGGCATCTAAAACATGATCACTAATAATAAGGAAGAGGGGCAATAAAACATAAACGAGGAAGCTAGCTAGTATAACCCCGATGCAGTGAATAATATGCATCATGCATGCCAACATTAATTAACGGTAATGAACCTTCAATTGTTATTCAAACTAGCCTTAGAGAGGAGCGAATAAGGGAAACCCTAGCTGCCGCCTCTTCTTTCTTCTTTTCTTCTCTTCTTTTAATCTTTTTTTACTTCAATCATGAAAAAGTTTCATTGAATCAGTATTTTCAATTCTACGTGTACGTTTATTTCCTAGCGTTGTCTAGAGATATTATTTTTTATTGTAAAGTGTTGTCGCCATATATGTATTCCCCGCCATCATCGATCCGGTGCCCTTGTGTGCTAGTAAGAGGTTTGTAATGGTTTCTTCATCAATCATGAATCCAGATTTCTTCTGCATCAACATAGAGGTTGATCATCCATCTCTTGAACCGTCGCCGGTTCAACAAGATGGAATTGCATGGATTTTTTTTCTTCATGGTGGCTGGTGTATGGTTTGGAACATCTGTCCATATTAAGATGTATGGCCGGATACTAAGTGGTTGTTAACGAGGTTGTTAATCATTATGGTCAACCGATGTCGATACCCCAATTAAAGTTAGGTGACAACTCCGGTACTCATTTAAAAAATGAGGTTCCGTACCTACCATTCACTTGATTGGTCCAAATCATTATATCATTTTGAATTTAGATTTAAATAATTCAACTGCAATATTTTGATCGGTCCATGTGGACAAAGTTGTGGTACCTTAAGGGTACCATAGAATCTACCTTAAAGTTATTATATGAAACATGAGGTTGTTAATCGTTATGGTCAACCGATGCCAATACCCCAATTAAAGTTATCATTAGCTAGGTTACATGCAACGTATTTAATATCGTTCTTTTTTTGAAATAAAATCGTTCATTTATTAATAATAATGAAAGTAAACAAAGACAAAGCATAGCAATAGTTCAGAGCAACCCTGGAGTGAGACATAAAACTGACTAGCCCCGAAGACCAAATCAGATCGCTAACTTCGCACAATGGTAGGTTATTCTATCAGTATCGCTGTACTTGTTACTAAGACAAAAATATAAAAAACTGAGGTTCAAAAGCTGAAAACAAACAAAAGAATCAAAAGTCAGTTAGGAAATTGATGTAATGTACCTCGAAAATACAACAACGGAAGTTTAAAATTTTCCCAAACGGATCTTACCTTAGTATGACAAAACAACGAATACAACAAAATAACATATATGAGTTAGAACTCACAAATCTCCTAATCTAGTTGTGATAATCTTTGACCTTAGGTATCAATATTTAAGTATGATTTAGTCTGATTTGACCCAGTTTGGTTCTGGACTGAAATCAGTCCCAGTAAAAACATTACATCTTTCCATATGGATAAATCAGACTGGGACTGATTTCAGTCCAGAACCAAACTGGGTCAAATCAAAAATAAGTGTTCTTGAATGTTACCCCACATCGGCCAAGTTTGAATTAATGAACCCCTTAATAAATGTCCGGTAATAATCACCTTTGGGAAGCTATTGTGGTGTTGATTTAGGACCGACATTATTATCAGCATTGTATCAGATCAAGACATGACACACAGCCATGATTTGGTTGTGCCGTACTGTTCAAATGAAAAACTACACGAATTAGAGAATGACATTTGCCTCTATGAAAAATCATTGTCCGACTGTGAGGTGGGAGGGTTGAAATGCATTCCTCATCGGCTAAATAATACCATCTCCGTCCCACAATTAACAATGTCTATCTTTGTTTGACTTAATACGCTTATCAAGAAAGTTAAATTGCATTGTTGGGGTTAATGTAAAAAGTGGAGCAACAATACCAACTACACAATTGTGTCTTTAAAAGGAAATGGGAAAAAATTTTGGATTCCCAACAAGGTAAGTAAGAAGAAAACTATGGGGACAGAGGGGGTAGTTAAATGAACCAATCCCCTCATAAGTTATTTTGGGATTGAGTTAGGATCAGCCTCATTCTTAACAAGCATTAACTTTGTCATCTGATGAGTGTCACCTGACATCAAGAAAGCATGCAGCGCTTTTATGGACACATTTTATTTGTGTCTTTATTCTGTGTTGACCATGCTTGTTGTCATTTTTTGCTTCAGGTTGCTGTTGCGCTCTCTCATGCTGCAATTTTAGAAGAGTCAATGAGGGCAAGGGATCTTCTCGTGGAGCAGAACATTGCCCTTGACTTGGCAAGAAGAGAAGCCGAGACAGCTGTACGTGCTCGTAATGATTTCTTGGCTGTTATGAACCATGAGATGAGAACTCCCATGCATGCAATTATAGCACTCTCTTCGTTGTTACAAGAAACAAAGTTGAGCCCCGAACAGCGTCTCATGGTAGAAACAATTCTAAAGAGCAGCAACCTTCTGGCAACTCTCATCAATGATGTCTTGGATCTTTCAAGACTAGAGGACGGTAGCCTTCAACTTGAGATAGCCACGTTTAACCTTCATGCACTTTTCCTGGAGGTTGAATTGTCATTTTTGAGTTCATGTGTGTTTGTCTTTTTCTTTTTCTTTTTGCCCCTTTTCTCCTTTTTGGGAGAATTACAGAGTACATGACCAAATTTATAAATACAAAAATATCATTTGCAACATTTTGTATATATATAAAGATAATAGTAACAGTGTAACAGTAGCAGTAGGTGCATTAGTAGTAACACCCTTCACCAGCACCACCTCCAATGATGGCTTCTAACAAAGGGTAGCTGCTACTATATAGCAGTGGTGGCGCTGGTTGCTACAATTGGACGCTGACGCTGACAGTGGGTATTACTAGCCGTCTAGCCGATGTCACCGTCAAATGTGGGTGTGGCTCGCTGTCTCCACTGCCTCTGACCCCAAGACAGTAGCAGTACTGCTACCGTGCAGCCACAATAGCTGTCCTTTGAAAAAACTGTCTATTTCAAGTACAGTGGTTATTTTTGTAAATAAAAATTTGGTCAGGTAGTTTTTTTTTATTTATTCTTCTTCCCGTTCATAGTTTTAGATGTTTGAGAACGTCTGGTTATTACTGTATGCAGGTCCAGAATTTGATCAAGCCGATTGCGTCGGTTAAAAAGCTGTCTGTCAATCTGAATTTGTCTTTAGATTTACCTGAGTTTGCTATTGGTGATGAAAAGCGGCTCATGCAAGTGCTTTTGAATGTTATTGGCAATGCTGTAAAGTTCTCCAAAGAAGGCAGTATATCGATTTCTGCATTCGTCGCTAAATCTGAATTTTTAAGAGATCCTCAAGCTCCTGACTTCTTCCCGGTGCTAACTGAAAATAACTTTTATTTACGTGTACAGGTCTGTAATTTGACATTATTTCATTACATGCTAGTATTGAATTATTCACATCATAGTTTTTTATTTTTATTTTCTTACAAATGTTTTTTTTCTGTAGTGCAGGTTAAAGATATGGGAGTGGGAATTAACCCTCTGGAAATTCCCAAGATCTTTAGCAAGTTTGCTCAAAACCAAACATTGACCCCAACTAAAAACTCTGGTGGTTCTGGGCTTGGCCTTGCCATTTGTAAGAGGTATGCAAAAGAACATACTTGGTCTTTTTCTACTCTGATATATATATATATATATCCTTTGAAATATGTTGTTGTGCCAGGTTTGTCAATATAATGGAAGGACAAATATGGATGGAAAGTGAAGGTGTTGGAAAGGGAGCTACTGCTATTTTTATTGTCAAACTTGGAATTCCTGGACTCTCAAATGAACTAAAACCCTCCTTTGGTCAAAAGCACCCACCCAATCATGCCCATACAATCTTTTCAGGGCTCAAAGTCTTGCTTATGGATGATAATAGGTGTGCTCTTTTAAAAAAACTTTTGGCAGTGAAATTTTCGGTTATATTCTGCTTCCATTTATATATACCTTAGGGCTTTTTTGGCAGTGAAATTTTCTGTTAAATTCTGCTTCCATGCAATTTTTGACGGGATTTTCACTATGGGTCATCCAGAAACAATATCTTTGTGCTCTAGTACAAGTGTAAGACTGTACATCCGACCCCCCTTTACCCCACCGAAGGTGGTAGCCTTTGCGGCACTGGGGTAATGATGATGATGATACCTTAGGGCTCTTTATTCAAGAATATGTGCCTTTTTTATAAAAGAAAAGTAACGTGATAATGAATTAATGGGTAAATGATTTCATACTAGATTTTTTTCTGGTTTACCCTAAAGTTAAGCTGTTCAATTGTCCGAAGATTAGCATTTGAGGGATAATAGTCATAATACTGCATATTCATACACCAGCCATTATTCGCTGCACAACAAAGGACTAATTTGAAAGGCATAGTATCAAATTAGATTCCTTAATGAGTTATATACTTATATATACACACACATATATACATACATATACGTATATACTTAATTACTTATATAAAATTAGGCTGTCCTTTTGCTGTCTTGTCTCTTCCTGGGGATGGGTATATATATTATTTCTGCACAATACTAATTTGTTTTGGAGTTAACATCTGCACAGTGTCTTACATCAGCCTTCCTCTTCGGTTTTCACAAGAGAAAGTTCCACTTATGCTCCTACTAGGGTATTCTTCTGTTTCAGCCCGCGTCTTTAAAATTGACCAGCGTTGGTACCCTCACTATTAAAAAGTTTCTATTTTTGGTCCTGTGTTGGGGATGTAGTTATACTATATGAACCTACATTTCACTGATATACTAATTATTCTCTGTTTTAGTGGCCCTTTGGTCCACATCATTCTCGACTCAATACTTTTCATCTTCGTCTTCTCCCATAAGTTGACATTCACATAAATGAGACCATAACACCATAACAGTGGGGACCAAAATCGGAAACATGTTTATGGCTGAGATCCAAAACTGGTCTGTTTTGAAGAACATAACAAAAATAATGAGAAAACGCTATAGTTGAAGGACCAATAGTGGCTTACTCTTTTCATAATATAGAACTATTAGTTATTCCATTCTTGGTCGTTTTGAAAATCGTGTCAATGACAATTTTGGTACCCGTCTAAGAAAATGTCCACTTCTAGTCCTCTAATTATTGTTACATAGATAGTTTGGGTATCCACTTTGAATTTTCTACTTAAATCCTCTTTTTATTGTGACAACGACACTTTTGATACTCGTTTTTCATTTGTGCCAAAAAAGTTGGAGCATCAAAAGTGATGTCACAACACTTGGACACAAATTGTCACAATCATAATAGGCAAGAGAATAAAAGTTGAAAATTTTAAAGACGGTACCAAAAGAAGTCTTTGTTACACTAGATATACAAAACTAAAAGTAAATTCAAAGATGTGTGCCAAAAGTGTCATTGCCGTCGAATGACTACAAAAGAAAAAAGAACTTGACAACTAGTGTCAATACCTCTAATCCAACTTCATGTGTTCTGCAGTTCCTCATATGCATCATGCAGTACCTGACACCATCTCTCTCTAAATTTTTATTTTTGATTACCATTGGAACAGTATGAGCAGGACAGTGACCAAGGGACTACTGTCGCACCTCGGCTTTGATGTAACAACTGTCTATTCTGGAGATGAATGCTTGAGAGTTGTTAACCATGAGCACAAGATAGCAATCATAGACATGTCCATGGCAGGCATAGGTGGATATGAGCTACTTTCTAATCAGATACATGAGAAGTTTTCAAGACGCCAAGAGAGGCCATTCATTGTTGGCCTAATAGGAACTACAGACCGAGTGATAAAAGAACGATGCTTGAGGGCGGGTATGGATGGAGTAATACTCAAACCTGTTTCTGTGGAGAAAATGAGAAATGTTTTAACTGCGCTTTTTGAGCATGGGGTTGTACTTGACATGCAGTAGGATAGGAGGAAGTTGTACTTCAAGGATATACTTTGGCAATGATATGAATGCACCTTGGAGGTGTGTATATACAATTCAGCATTCCGGCAATCTGGAGAAGTTTGTGGATCCAACTGTTTACAACGGGAGAAACTATCTTGGGTGGAGAAACTAAAGACCCTTTTGATTTGCAGAGAAGCAAGATTTTTTTTCAAGTTATTCTTGGAAGTGTTTGAATCTACTATCTTGGATCACCTTCTCTTAGAAACCAAGAGTCCATGACACCTTTAATTTGTAGATGATGATGCACATATCTTGGGAAGTAGCATTTTCCCGTTTCCGGAACGTAAACGGAAACTCCTACTTTCTAGGTTCAAGTTAGGAAAAAAATTGACATTACCATGTGTTGTTTTTCACGGTCCCCGTTTTTGTTTTCCTACAATATAGGCTTCAGAAATGCTTTAAGAAGTCATAAGTTAATGTGCAATTGTGCATCAGTGCATGCATTTTTCTTCTATGAATGACACATTTGCTCATTCTTATTTACCTTGTACCACATATATGTACAATATGACATTAATTGATTGTGTATGGCGTGTCAATGTGTCATAGTGAATTTTCACTTTAGTACCAAGGTCTCCATTGATCAGAGCTTTATGAATTAATAAGGATTTCAAAATTTGTTCATTAATAAACAGAGTATTGTGGTTGATGAAAAGAGCAAGGGAAACGTGATGACCCAGACCGAAAGTAGAAGCGACCCACTTCAGATAACCCTAAATGAGCACGAGGAGTTCGAAAGAAGACTGGTAGCGGAGAGCCGTGTTACAAGCAATGCAGTACTTGGCAGTTGGCATGTATGCTGATGGCTTTGAAGTTTGAGCTAACAAACGAGCGATGCTCGGGCCTCGGGTAGAAGCACCGCTTGTAATTTTGAAAAATATTTCAGCTAAAGGATGTCTGCCACTAGTGTATGAAGAGTTTCTCGTTATCTCAGTGATGGCAAAACCAAGTGTTTTCACACCTCCTGAATCAACGTTATTTGGGACACTAATTTGTTATGGTACAATCTATCTATATACAAAAGGAGGTGGATTTCAGCCAAATTTCCCGCCTAAACTACCAGGTCAGCTGTGGGTCGAGTCTGGGTCGGGTCAGCACTAACGGGTCTGCCAACTCCACTGATGTAAAAGTACAGCTCAATAAATGCTTACCCATATGAAACCCAGCGGATAAGAAGGCAATAAATGAGAATCTTGATTGAAGATTTTCTCTTAAAATCTACGATTCCCGTGATTCGAAGTATATGTAAAAAGTACATATCATTTAATCAAGACTTTAAAATTGTAGAGTACATGCAGTAAACTTTGTCAGACTTCTTTATGCATTGTCAATTCGACAATTAATTGATAGCTTGCTCTCTCATTGCCCATGTCCCTCCAAAGATTGGTGTATTAAACACAATATTTTTTGATGAATATAACCACCGATCAGGACAAAAGAATCCCCACCAAACAAACTAATATTCCTTCTCATTTTCCCTTCTCAAAGGACAAGCATCGTGGAAGCTGGTGAGAACTTGGTGTCAATGTCATATTCCTTCTTATGCACGCCGTAATCCAAAATCATCATCCAGATGTTTATGTCTTGCAACCAGTTAAAACCATCGATTTCATCTGGAACCGCCAAGCAGTCCATACCGCAGGATCTCACATTGAATGGCGGCGCTTCTGGAATTGAGGCTGTTATTTGGTGAGGAAGAGGCAGAGCATTGGGCAATTCGACGGCTAGGTTATATATCATCTATTGCAGCGGTGTAAATGGAGGGCCATAGACCCCTAACCGACCTCTAACCCAGCAACGCGGCGGTGAGCACGCTGGCCGATTGAGAGAGCTCGCGACCTGGTGTCTCACCAACCTGTTTTCCAAACTTGGAGATGGGGACGGTGAACTTAGGCTTTCTGTTTCAACTATGGTGCCCAACAGAGAGACATCGCCAAAATCCAAGGACCTAGGGGAAATCAGCAAAGTCGAAGGAATGGAAACAGTTCCGCGGCGGGGGAGGTCGCCGGTAGCAATATGTTGACCGGATATTTCAGTCAAGTCCGTTACTCATGACAAATTTTCAGTTTCTGGGTTCAAATTTTTATTGAAAGTAAATACTTCCATTTGATATTATTGACTTATCTTGAGAATTTTATGGATTATTGGCTTATCTTGAGATTCATAGTTTCTATGAATTTTGATCTTGATAAACAACAAAATGGACGAATCTGTGCTTCATGAAGCACTGCATGCTCCCAGAGTGGAGTAGTAGTGATTGGAAAATTCTGGTCCAAGATGTTTTGCAAATTCCTGGTAAGATTTGTCCTCTTACATTTCCATGGATTTGGATTTGGAGTAATTCCAGACTGCTTTTAAATATCAGGCATATTATATTATCAATCTATGTATATAATCCATATATCAACAAGCTTTCATTTTGCTTTTGAACAATTCTTGGGCTATTTCTTATCACACACGGGTTGTGTGTGTAAATATGTGCACATAATTTTTTTAATTATTTTTTATGTTAATTAAAAATGTCTACATAATTTTATCGTGTTACTTATAAGATAACCTCTCATGTTTTAAATTCTTCGCTTATGAATGTTGCGGTATGTATTTAATGTCTTCCCTTATGAATAATGTTACAGTATGTAAACTGCATTGCAAGGAACATGGTTGGGTTTAGCTGCCCTGCGAAGAGGGAAAGAAGGGTCCAATATGAGACTGAATTGTTTTAAATGTTGGAATGGTTTAGGGTGTTTCCGTTTCCCTTGACCGAGAAAGACAGGCGGCATCGACACCGACACACCCTTAATGCTTTAGAGACGCATTTGTACGCACGAATATCTAATTTAGTGCGATAAAGGTTTAATTCATGATAAATACTTAAATCTTTCTTTTTTTTCCACCCGTAGTAGATAACTTATGTAAACTAAGTTTCACAAACTATGAAAATGAGTTATATTCAGAGTTTCATATTTTTCTTAAATATAATTACCAGTAAGAAAATCATTTTTTGTTGAGCAAGCTTTCAATACAATCGTGTATTTCTCGAACAATCTCAAAAAAATCATATGTTTGGATGTGAAAAAGCTAATCTACAGTTTCAACTTCATCTATAGTACTCCATATATTAGTATGTCAAGGATGATCATATTTTAAGCTCTATGTCGATGTAAAGGCCCGTGATTTACTGACTAAAAGGAATCCCGACTATATAGGGTTGATTATTGTACTTTTAATTGTTTTGTCTAAAACATTGATTTTTGAACGATTTGTGATTTGTTTATGTGTGATTTATATTTTTGATGCTTTGTTTAATCATGAGTCATGACATATTGGGACATCATTTTTCATGGACATCATTTCAGATTCATATATACCAAATTCTTTTAAATTTGGTGTAAATTGAAAGTGAATTGCCCATCTTCAATAACATAGGGACATCTGGCAGATAAATAAAGAACATATCACCATGACACAAAGCACCTACATTAAATTCGGACAATCATCTATTTGTAAAATAAACCAATGATGAAGAAACATGATTCATAATAAAATGCAATCCATTTAAAATTAAAGTTTATTTTTGAATACAATAGTGTTAAAAACCGAATTATAAAATTCAAGTAAGCACTCAGTAAAATAAATTTGACTACCTGAATTTATACTACTGGATTTTAAAAATGCCATATTTCCATCTTAAAAAAATGCCACAATGTGGCAGGCATTATTTTACAAGTTAATAAAAATACATGTGCCCTGCAACTCAAATCCTTAAAATCCATGGTTGAAGCCTCCGATTTTCATATCCAAAATTCACAATCCAAAATTTTCAAATAAAAAATTACATTTTTATTTAGATTCTAAAGAATACACAAAGAAGTTAACAGAAAATTTAACAAATGCAAGCTGCATAGAAAACGAAAGAGAGAGTGGCAGAAGGAGAATGAGAAGAAAAGAGGAGAAGAGAAGAAGGAAAAAGAGGAGAAGCCGCAGAGATGGTGGACAAAATAAATAAAGAGAGCTGGAGTCGGTTTGAAAGATTGATGCAAGTACATTGTAATACTCCGAATTTTTATCATGGGGGTTGGGGTACTTGGGGTTAAACAGGATATAACTGCTTCCTTGGCATTTTGAACTCATGAATGATGACTACCCATATAGGAGAGCAAGTCAGCGACTAAGTGAGTTGGACCGCTTTATCATAATACTTCGTAAATATGTATTCTTCTATCAAAAATATTGCCCGCATCGGCTTTCACCAAACTATTCTTAAGTATAACTTCGATATACTTCAGAATTTTTTATTACATACTAGGTATTGCAATTATTATTTTATAATTTACACATTTTATTTGTATAAGAATTTTTTTCACTAATAATGCTAACAAATCTTACCAGGAATTTGCAAAACATCTTGGACCAGAATTTTCCAATCACTACTACTCCACTCTGGGAGCATGCAGTGCTTCATGAAGCACAGATTCGTCCATTTTGTTGTTTATCAAGATCAAAATTCATAGAAACTATGAATCTCAAGATAAGCCAATAATCCATAAAATTCTCAAGATAAGTCAATAATATCAAATGGAAGTATTTACTTTCAATAAAAATTTGAACCCAGAAACTGAAAATTTGTCATGAGTAACGGACTTGACTGAAATATCCGGTCAACATATTGCTACCGGCGACCTCCCCCGCCGCGGAACTGTTTCCATTCCTTCGACTTTGCTGATTTCCCCTAGGTCCTTGGATTTTGGCGATGTCTCTCTGTTGGGCACCATAGTTGAAACAGAAAGCCTAAGTTCACCGTCCCCATCTCCAAGTTTGGAAAACAGGTTGGTGAGACACCAGGTCGCGAGCTCTCTCAATCGGCCAGCGTGCTCACCGCCGCGTTGCTGGGTTAGAGGTCGGTTAGGGGTCTATGGCCCTCCATTTACACCGCTGCAATAGATGATATATAACCTAGCCGTCGAATTGCCCAATGCTCTGCCTCTTCCTCACCAAATAACAGCCTCAATTCCAGAAGCGCCGCCATTCAATGTGAGATCCTGCGGTATGGACTGCTTGGCGGTTCCAGATGAAATCGATGGTTTTAACTGGTTGCAAGACATAAACATCTGGATGATGATTTTGGATTACGGCGTGCATAAGAAGGAATATGACATTGACACCAAGTTCTCACCAGCTTCCACGATGCTTGTCCTTTGAGAAGGGAAAATGAGAAGGAATATTAGTTTGTTTGGTGGGGATTCTTTTGTCCTGATCGGTGGTTATATTCATCAAAAAATATTGTGTTTAATACACCAATCTTTGGAGGGACATGGGCAATGAGAGAGCAAGCTATCAATTAATTGTCGAATTGACAATGCATAAAGAAGTCTGACAAAGTTTACTGCATGTACTCTACAATTTTAAAGTCTTGATTAAATGATATGTACTTTTTACATATACTTCGAATCACGGGAATCGTAGATTTTAAGAGAAAATCTTCAATCAAGATTCTCATTTATTGCCTTCTTATCCGCTGGGTTTCATATGGGTAAGCATTTATTGAGCTGTACTTTTACATCAGTGGAGTTGGCAGACCCGTTAGTGCTGACCCGACCCAGACTCGACCCACAGCTGACCTGGTAGTTTAGGCGGGAAATTTGGCTGAAATCCACCTCCTTTTGTATATAGATAGATTGTACCATAACAAATTAGTGTCCCAAATAACGTTGATTCAGGAGGTGTGAAAACACTTGGTTTTGCCATCACTGAGATAACGAGAAACTCTTCATACACTAGTGGCAGACATCCTTTAGCTGAAATATTTTTCAAAATTACAAGCGGTGCTTCTACCCGAGGCCCGAGCATCGCTCGTTTGTTAGCTCAAACTTCAAAGCCATCAGCATACATGCCAACTGCCAAGTACTGCATTGCTTGTAACACGGCTCTCCGCTACCAGTCTTCTTTCGAACTCCTCGTGCTCATTTAGGGTTATCTGAAGTGGGTCGCTTCTACTTTCGGTCTGGGTCATCACGTTTCCCTTGCTCTTTTCATCAACCACAATACTCTGTTTATTAATGAACAAATTTTGAAATCCTTATTAATTCATAAAGCTCTGATCAATGGAGACCTTGGTACTAAAGTGAAAATTCACTATGACACATTGACACGCCATACACAATCAATTAATGTCATATTGTACATATATGTGGTACAAGGTAAATAAGAATGAGCAAATGTGTCATTCATAGAAGAAAAATGCATGCACTGATGCACAATTGCACATTAACTTATGACTTCTTAAAGCATTTCTGAAGCCTATATTGTAGGAAAACAAAAACGGGGACCGTGAAAAACAACACATGGTAATGTCAATTTTTTTCCTAACTTGAACCTAGAAAGTAGGAGTTTCCGTTTACGTTCCGGAAACGGGAAAATGCTACTTCCCAAGATATGTGCATCATCATCTACAAATTAAAGGTGTCATGGACTCTTGGTTTCTAAGAGAAGGTGATCCAAGATAGTAGATTCAAACACTTCCAAGAATAACTTGAAAAAAAATCTTGCTTCTCTGCAAATCAAAAGGGTCTTTAGTTTCTCCACCCAAGATAGTTTCTCCCGTTGTAAACAGTTGGATCCACAAACTTCTCCAGATTGCCGGAATGCTGAATTGTATATACACACCTCCAAGGTGCATTCATATCATTGCCAAAGTATATCCTTGAAGTACAACTTCCTCCTATCCTACTGCATGTCAAGTACAACCCCATGCTCAAAAAGCGCAGTTAAAACATTTCTCATTTTCTCCACAGAAACAGGTTTGAGTATTACTCCATCCATACCCGCCCTCAAGCATCGTTCTTTTATCACTCGGTCTGTAGTTCCTATTAGGCCAACAATGAATGGCCTCTCTTGGCGTCTTGAAAACTTCTCATGTATCTGATTAGAAAGTAGCTCATATCCACCTATGCCTGCCATGGACATGTCTATGATTGCTATCTTGTGCTCATGGTTAACAACTCTCAAGCATTCATCTCCAGAATAGACAGTTGTTACATCAAAGCCGAGGTGCGACAGTAGTCCCTTGGTCACTGTCCTGCTCATACTGTTCCAATGGTAATCAAAAATAAAAATTTAGAGAGAGATGGTGTCAGGTACTGCATGATGCATATGAGGAACTGCAGAACACATGAAGTTGGATTAGAGGTATTGACACTAGTTGTCAAGTTCTTTTTTCTTTTGTAGTCATTCGACGGCAATGACACTTTTGGCACACATCTTTGAATTTACTTTTAGTTTTGTATATCTAGTGTAACAAAGACTTCTTTTGGTACCGTCTTTAAAATTTTCAACTTTTATTCTCTTGCCTATTATGATTGTGACAATTTGTGTCCAAGTGTTGTGACATCACTTTTGATGCTCCAACTTTTTTGGCACAAATGAAAAACGAGTATCAAAAGTGTCGTTGTCACAATAAAAAGAGGATTTAAGTAGAAAATTCAAAGTGGATACCCAAACTATCTATGTAACAATAATTAGAGGACTAGAAGTGGACATTTTCTTAGACGGGTACCAAAATTGTCATTGACACGATTTTCAAAACGACCAAGAATGGAATAACTAATAGTTCTATATTATGAAAAGAGTAAGCCACTATTGGTCCTTCAACTATAGCGTTTTCTCATTATTTTTGTTATGTTCTTCAAAACAGACCAGTTTTGGATCTCAGCCATAAACATGTTTCCGATTTTGGTCCCCACTGTTATGGTGTTATGGTCTCATTTATGTGAATGTCAACTTATGGGAGAAGACGAAGATGAAAAGTATTGAGTCGAGAATGATGTGGACCAAAGGGCCACTAAAACAGAGAATAATTAGTATATCAGTGAAATGTAGGTTCATATAGTATAACTACATCCCCAACACAGGACCAAAAATAGAAACTTTTTAATAGTGAGGGTACCAACGCTGGTCAATTTTAAAGACGCGGGCTGAAACAGAAGAATACCCTAGTAGGAGCATAAGTGGAACTTTCTCTTGTGAAAACCGAAGAGGAAGGCTGATGTAAGACACTGTGCAGATGTTAACTCCAAAACAAATTAGTATTGTGCAGAAATAATATATATACCCATCCCCAGGAAGAGACAAGACAGCAAAAGGACAGCCTAATTTTATATAAGTAATTAAGTATATACGTATATGTATGTATATATGTGTGTGTATATATAAGTATATAACTCATTAAGGAATCTAATTTGATACTATGCCTTTCAAATTAGTCCTTTGTTGTGCAGCGAATAATGGCTGGTGTATGAATATGCAGTATTATGACTATTATCCCTCAAATGCTAATCTTCGGACAATTGAACAGCTTAACTTTAGGGTAAACCAGAAAAAAATCTAGTATGAAATCATTTACCCATTAATTCATTATCACGTTACTTTTCTTTTATAAAAAAGGCACATATTCTTGAATAAAGAGCCCTAAGGTATCATCATCATCATTACCCCAGTGCCGCAAAGGCTACCACCTTCGGTGGGGTAAAGGGGGGTCGGATGTACAGTCTTACACTTGTACTAGAGCACAAAGATATTGTTTCTGGATGACCCATAGTGAAAATCCCGTCAAAAATTGCATGGAAGCAGAATTTAACAGAAAATTTCACTGCCAAAAAAGCCCTAAGGTATATATAAATGGAAGCAGAATATAACCGAAAATTTCACTGCCAAAAGTTTTTTTAAAAGAGCACACCTATTATCATCCATAAGCAAGACTTTGAGCCCTGAAAAGATTGTATGGGCATGATTGGGTGGGTGCTTTTGACCAAAGGAGGGTTTTAGTTCATTTGAGAGTCCAGGAATTCCAAGTTTGACAATAAAAATAGCAGTAGCTCCCTTTCCAACACCTTCACTTTCCATCCATATTTGTCCTTCCATTATATTGACAAACCTGGCACAACAACATATTTCAAAGGATATATATATATATATATCAGAGTAGAAAAAGACCAAGTATGTTCTTTTGCATACCTCTTACAAATGGCAAGGCCAAGCCCAGAACCACCAGAGTTTTTAGTTGGGGTCAATGTTTGGTTTTGAGCAAACTTGCTAAAGATCTTGGGAATTTCCAGAGGGTTAATTCCCACTCCCATATCTTTAACCTGCACTACAGAAAAAAAACATTTGTAAGAAAATAAAAATAAAAAACTATGATGTGAATAATTCAATACTAGCATGTAATGAAATAATGTCAAATTACAGACCTGTACACGTAAATAAAAGTTATTTTCAGTTAGCACCGGGAAGAAGTCAGGAGCTTGAGGATCTCTTAAAAATTCAGATTTAGCGACGAATGCAGAAATCGATATACTGCCTTCTTTGGAGAACTTTACAGCATTGCCAATAACATTCAAAAGCACTTGCATGAGCCGCTTTTCATCACCAATAGCAAACTCAGGTAAATCTAAAGACAAATTCAGATTGACAGACAGCTTTTTAACCGACGCAATCGGCTTGATCAAATTCTGGACCTGCATACAGTAATAACCAGACGTTCTCAAACATCTAAAACTATGAACGGGAAGAAGAATAAATAAAAAAAAACTACCTGACCAAATTTTTATTTACAAAAATAACCACTGTACTTGAAATAGACAGTTTTTTCAAAGGACAGCTATTGTGGCTGCACGGTAGCAGTACTGCTACTGTCTTGGGGTCAGAGGCAGTGGAGACAGCGAGCCACACCCACATTTGACGGTGACATCGGCTAGACGGCTAGTAATACCCACTGTCAGCGTCAGCGTCCAATTGTAGCAACCAGCGCCACCACTGCTATATAGTAGCAGCTACCCTTTGTTAGAAGCCATCATTGGAGGTGGTGCTGGTGAAGGGTGTTACTACTAATGCACCTACTGCTACTGTTACACTGTTACTATTATCTTTATATATATACAAAATGTTGCAAATGATATTTTTGTATTTATAAATTTGGTCATGTACTCTGTAATTCTCCCAAAAAGGAGAAAAGGGGCAAAAAGAAAAAGAAAAAGACAAACACACATGAACTCAAAAATGACAATTCAACCTCCAGGAAAAGTGCATGAAGGTTAAACGTGGCTATCTCAAGTTGAAGGCTACCGTCCTCTAGTCTTGAAAGATCCAAGACATCATTGATGAGAGTTGCCAGAAGGTTGCTGCTCTTTAGAATTGTTTCTACCATGAGACGCTGTTCGGGGCTCAACTTTGTTTCTTGTAACAACGAAGAGAGTGCTATAATTGCATGCATGGGAGTTCTCATCTCATGGTTCATAACAGCCAAGAAATCATTACGAGCACGTACAGCTGTCTCGGCTTCTCTTCTTGCCAAGTCAAGGGCAATGTTCTGCTCCACGAGAAGATCCCTTGCCCTCATTGACTCTTCTAAAATTGCAGCATGAGAGAGCGCAACAGCAACCTGAAGCAAAAAATGACAACAAGCATGGTCAACACAGAATAAAGACACAAATAAAATGTGTCCATAAAAGCGCTGCATGCTTTCTTGATGTCAGGTGACACTCATCAGATGACAAAGTTAATGCTTGTTAAGAATGAGGCTGATCCTAACTCAATCCCAAAATAACTTATGAGGGGATTGGTTCATTTAACTACCCCCTCTGTCCCCATAGTTTTCTTCTTACTTACCTTGTTGGGAATCCAAAATTTTTTCCCATTTCCTTTTAAAGACACAATTGTGTAGTTGGTATTGTTGCTCCACTTTTTACATTAACCCCAACAATGCAATTTAACTTTCTTGATAAGCGTATTAAGTCAAACAAAGATAGACATTGTTAATTGTGGGACGGAGATGGTATTATTTAGCCGATGAGGAATGCATTTCAACCCTCCCACCTCACAGTCGGACAATGATTTTTCATAGAGGCAAATGTCATTCTCTAATTCGTGTAGTTTTTCATTTGAACAGTACGGCACAACCAAATCATGGCTGTGTGTCATGTCTTGATCTGATACAATGCTGATAATAATGTCGGTCCTAAATCAACACCACAATAGCTTCCCAAAGGTGATTATTACCGGACATTTATTAAGGGGTTCATTAATTCAAACTTGGCCGATGTGGGGTAACATTCAAGAACACTTATGATGGCCAGGGAGGTGAAATATTCAAATTTAACAAATGAAGAAAATTCAAACCTGGTCAGCGACAACTTCAACAAGCTCCAACTCATGGACGTGCCATTGTCTTGCACTATCAGAAGGGAGCATCAAGACCATCAAAGCATAGCGTTTTGTTGAGAGTTCAGGCCAGTCATTGATTTGGAAATTAGAGAGATGAAGAAGAGGGACACGGATAGCAACTACCTCCCCAGGCATGTACTTCCCAGCAGGCCGTAGTCTTGCTACAGGAGAATTCGGCGATATCTTCACTGCACGGTTTGTACTGAAGACCTGACTGATGGCAGGAAGGTGAATTGGAACGGTAAATCCAACAGGGTTTTGGTGTCGAAGAGTGTATGAAAGTTGCAGCTCTAGTCCAGTACGGGTAGGCATCCATAATGCACACTCTTCCAAACCTAACGTCCTTCCCAACTCCACAAGGGTAGTCTTCAGAATAGTATGCCGGTCAAGAGTGCTTCTTATTTCATGAGTAAGCATTCTGACATGTCTGCCAGTCTCTTCTTGTGTACGGATAAGGCCCATCTCCCTATCCAGCTCTGCAGCCTTGTTTTTCAAAAAAAGCTCCCTTGTTTTGACGCTTAATAAATCCGGAATAATGTGTACAAGCATAAGTGCAGTCGCACATGAAACTAATGCCGTCAAAAGCTTTGCGGTTGTCATGACTATGGCAACTGTTCTTGTATGCATCCCAAAAGTCCATAAGTTGATAAAGTGTGTCGCCCCACAAAGGATGATGAATGCACCAAATTGCAAAAGCACCCATCTGTAAGGAAAAACTGCTGATTTTTTGACAAAGTATATCAACTCGACCGGGATGGAAAAATAAGCAAGAGCAATGAAGAAATCCGATATATACTGATACTTCATTAGTAACTCGTCGGCAGGCCATTGTGGGTCAATGCAATTACACGACTCCATTTCAAGAAGGTTAATTCACTTGGAACACTTTCTTACATGAACACCTACATGGAAGGGTAGAAGATAAGTTCACAAGATGAAACAAATGGAACTACTTAGAAGTTAGCCTCACAACATCAAAATTCTCTGAACAAACTGTACAAAAAATGTTGGTATTTTCTATTAAATAGATAAATCAGTGCTCTTAAACTGATGTTAAAAATGTTAGTAGCTCTATCACCGTGTTAGATGAACAAGACTGACTGACTACAACAAGCTCACGACTCAAATAACAACAAATGGTAAGCTGTTATCTGTTCTATTTGATTGCAGTGCTATGCCTATCAAAGTTGGGGAAGGCTTCTTATACTCATTACGCTCGACTGTATAGAAGAGTCCATAATATATGTTACAAATCATCTTCAGTTACTCTTCGCCTTTTCTAAACTCTATTAGACTGCACTTGTTGGGTCCAAGTCCACTGAAAGTAGGTAACCTTTATCACCATTAGCTTTTCTACTCTATCAATAGCTTCAATAGTGAACTGAAAGCCTTTTCAATACTTAACCACACGCCCTTCCGAAAGAAAGACATAATATATATAATAGAAAGGGTTGGCTAAGAACTATTTGTTGTAAACAGGGCCGGTCCTGACACATTAGAGGCCCTGTTCAGAATTAAATAGGAGGCCTTAGTTTCCTAGCATCTGCCCATATCCTACATATCATACAAGAGCTCCAATGAAAGTATCTTTTTCAACCATGTCTACTACAATAGAGAAATCATTATAATTTTAATCAAACTGAATTGGTCTTTTTCTTTGTAGTTCGGTTTATTCCTCTAATATGTCGCTTAAAAATCAGTGAGCTGTATCATTAAAACGGAATAGATTAATCCATATACAGATTGAAAAATCGGTATACCATATCAAAGGTATATAGATGAACCATATACTTTATGTTATTTTATATCTTTATAGAAAACTGAATATACTGAAAAACCAGTATTGAGAGTTCTTGGAGACCATTCATTTCTGCGTATTAATTTCTCAAGTCCGATCCTTAGAAATTGTAGTTGAATGTGAAGATTTTACTGGCATGCCGTTTGTTCTTTTATCTGGTAGGACGTGGATATTGTTCAACAAAGGGTCTGGCCTTTATGTTGACTTCATTATGCAATCTGTTTAGCAGTGCAGGCAAAATGAAATTGATCCGTGCTGATTTAATTCTTTGTTATCACATAAGAATATTTTTATGTAACACTGATTTTTCCTTATACTAGGATGGGAGGGGGTACCCAAAAATTATTGGCCAAATCTATATCTATATAATATAGTAAAACACAAAAGTCCCAAGGAGGGAGGACAAGGGGTGTTGGGCGGGAAAAACGTACATAGAAAATAAGGAAGTTGCACCGTTGCATGGCAGCAGTTTTCACGCCAAACAATTAATCACTTAATTAAGGATTATTGTATTTCAATTGTTCTAGAACTCTTTAATACTATGGATGCACCTACATATAAAATACCGAGTGACATAAAGGAAGAAAGAGAAAATGTTTGGTTGCAATGATGTCTTTCCATTTATCTAGGTCTTGGATGAATAAAAAGACTGCTAGATTTAAATATTGTGTCTTGAGCTTCTCGAAGCATTTAATTGCATTAGCCTTTTGGATTCACCGAGATGTGTACATCTTTTTCCATAGCATTAGTAATTAATTTTTGTATTCTTTGTTATACGGAGTATATACTATCGTATTTTTCTCCCCTAGGTTGTGCTTCTCGAAGTACATGCAGACAGAGTGTAAACAATTTAAACTAATTAATTGTCTTCTCAAGGTTCAAGAATTAATGCAAAATTACATATGGAGTGAGGCTTGGAGGCCATTTTGAAGTATTCTTCTAGACTCCTAACATGTTCTCAATGTGGAATTCTTCAATTAGAAACTCTTCCAATGTAGCTTTCGATGAATAAATACTGTGGATGCATTTCAATTAAAGGCTACATAATAAACCTTGACTTTTTGAATTTCATTGCTGCCTATATATAAAAGACTATACTCACATCTACCATCACATGGATCTTTAATCAAGTTTCATGTTCGCCTTCAAACACCTGCACAAAAGAAGAAAAACAATTCCACTCAAGCAAGAGCTTCTTCAGAATAAATTGTAGCATCCACTTGAATGGAATTGGACACTCCATTTTAGATACACTCTGTTCAGGAAAATACAATTTATCCCAGATAGTCCATAAATTTAAATTAGAGTACTTCTACGGTTGTCAAAGTTGACTCATTTCCAATGGTTGTAGGTGAGACTTAAGAGAAGGTATGTATCTTTTAACTTTAAACAAAAGCAAATTAAGTAAACGAAGAAAATTTAGCATTCTACTTTTAACGTTTCATACTCTGCATGTATACGTTTTCTGACCATTTCATACTTCCTATAACACATTTTATAACATCTTTAAATTACTACTTGCAGTTTGCTAGATGGTATAACAATCACTGATAAGTGTAATATTTAGCTTCTAACATTCTTAAGCATCAAGATTATTTAGCATTTGATAACATATTTGAATTACTACTTGCAGTTTGCTAGAGGGTTCATTAGCAATCACTAATAAGAGAAAATTTTAGCTTCAAACATTTTACGGTAGAGTGTTATCTGTACCAGTAAGTAACTGTCCTCATAAGAAGCATTATCTAAAAGCTAAAGATGACCAATATAACTCTATAAGCCTCACATATGTCGTTGGTTTTAAAGATGTTCCTGATGAGTGATGAATAATCATCTCTACATTCATTTAAGCTTTACATAATGAATGATTTCTTTAATATTTTCTTTTATACATTCTGTTCAAAATTTAAACAGATTTAAGCCAATTGAGAGTTTATTGAGGTTAGTTTCTTAATGAATCTTAAAAATGTGCTTTGGTCAATTGGACATTTAAAAAAATTACTTCAAAAAATTGTAATTAAAAAAACTAATCTTAAATTAATAACTTGGTTTTCTTATATAAAAATTGTAGAACTTATATTACGGATTAAATTTGTAATAAGCCAAAATACGTAGTAGAGAAACTAGGAGAGTTTTATACTTTTTTCAGTATCATTTTGTGATCAAATTTGACTACTTCCATATATTTGCCTTCAACCCTACTGCTGGTACTTAAGTTTCATATTACTGGGTACATAAATTGAAGGGTACATAAAGCTTAGATTATGAACAAATTCAACATAAATTGGGTTCCTTAACAAAATACGAATCAAAGAAATATAGAAATATGCTCCATTGAATACGCTTTTCATGTTTAATTTTGATCACCAGAAAGACGACATCCAGTTGTTAGGTACAACAATTAAATAATAATGATATAAAGTTATAATGAGTCCAATTATTTTCTAACCAAAATAAAAACCTCTCAAAAAACAAATATACAAAAAACCCACTTTTAGGCTAACCGATTTTTCGAGTGATTTTTGACCGGCAGAGTGGCAAGTTTTCTGAAAATAAAAACATTCTTAAATTTCTGCCATTTTGAGATCTTAGGTAAAGATTTGTTATCTTATATTTTTTCTGAATGGTTCTGTCGTTCTGGTGACTCGTGTAGGAAAATCAAAATGAGTTTCTCGGTTTTCTTAGGTTTCGACATTCAAGGATATTACTAACTTAAGTATTTAACTAAATATTTATAAAAAAACAATGAACTAAGTTATTATTGAGCTAATCAATAAAAGAGGACTGAAGAAATACCAGGACTACGAATGGTTGGATGTGAAAATTGAGGGAAGCGCCGATTGACTGAGCCGCTGAAGGTTGAGTGGCGGAGAGCAGGCGACTGAGCGACGGGAGTGATATGAGTAGTTGAAGACTGAAGAGGCGTGCTGCGGTGCTGCTGATGTGCTGCGTGTTGGCGTCTGACGGAGGATGAAACCGGCGACTTGGCGGAGCGTTCAACCGTTTGTGGATGATAGATGTCGGATCCCAACTCCAGAGATGTTTGCTCGGCTTCCTCAAGCCTTTAATTAATATTGGACCTTTGGTTTGTTGGACAAGAATATTGGGCATAATATTTTTTTAATCATTTTTGGGGCTGCAATCCACATATTTTGGGGGAAGATCATGAACTGATGAAGAGTCATATCTGTAAAACAAATCAAGGTTACGAAATGAGGAAATGGTCAATTGAGTACATCAACTTGTACGAGGTGGAGTAAAGAATACATTATATTGCATTTGATCTTTTTAAGTATACAAATTCGGGATTTTAGTGTTAATTGAGTACATTTGTTGGATTAACACGTTAACACAGTTGAGTTGGCTAACGAATGTCGAGTAAGAAGGGATAATGGACCGAGATTATGGTGCCGACCTTCACGAAGTCGACAAAAAGGAAAACCGACCTTCGGAAGTCGACTTGCGGGGGCGTCGGCCAGCAGGGGTGCATCGAACAAGGAGAAGTCGACCCGCGGGGGACTGACTTCGACCAAGGGGAAGTCGATCAAGCGACTGGGGGCTAGCGTCGACCTTCAAATAGTCGACCTATTAGCATTCTGTTAGCCAACTCAGTCGTATTAACGTGTTAATCTAACGGGTGTACTCAATTAACATTAGAAACTCGAACTTATGTACTTAAAAAGATCAAATGCATTATAGTGAACTCTTTACTCTACCTCATTACGAAATATAAGTCAATTAGTGAAACACAGGAAGGAAGGGCTATATTAATCGGAAAGGTTTAGTTGATCGGTGCGCGTCTAGAGATGGATGGTGGTTTATTTATGTGATGTAAGAATGTGAAATATGTGTGTTTGGTAAAGAAAGAGATATTGCGTGGATGAGAAATAAGAATAATCGCGGAGAAAGAAAATAATATATTTGAGTGTTCCTTTTTTTTATTCGAGTTAAAATTGTGTAATACGAATAGTGTATTTCAGATTTTTGACTTGAGTTGAACTAAAATAAGATTTCAAACTATTGGTGTACAATCAATGTTTAATATTGTAAGAATGAAACTATAATCTTTATTTTAAATCTTTTTTATAATTTAAAGTGTGCAGTAAAGTTTCATATACTTCAAACTATATTAAAATAAATCCATGAGTTTGAAATAATATGCATTTTTTATGAATGAGGTGAGAGTTGTAACAAAGGAAATCATAGTTATAGCACAAAAGATATACTCCGTATAAAATAGTATCATTAGATAGCCCAATAGTCTAAAAACTCAAACAAACAAGATAATCCAATCGTCTTTGTTTAATTTTACTATAGTAGACTGATCACTTTGAAATCCTATAATACCTAAATCAAATAAAATCAAATCAAACGAGATCATATTAGATTGGGCCTGACAAGAATTAGACAATACTAAAAACGTGTAGAAAAATATCTATCACACCACATAAAAAGTAAGGAAATTGACGTAGATTTTTTTGGAGGGATTCACCAAAATCCATATAGGATGAGATAGGGATATGTTAAATTCGTGTCAAAAACATTTTGGCACAAGCAATTTGGCATGAAATCACCGGTCAATCCGTGTCAATCCCGTAATTTTTGTGTGGTGATCATATAAGATCATATCATTTCAAACCAATTAAAAACATCTTTAATAAAATTTTAATAAGAAGTCCATATTTTAATCACATATGTTATAACTTTTCTCAACTAAATAACCAAGAAATTAATTTTTATGAATGACCAATATAACTTATAATCTCAAATCCAACAAGGTAAATAATTTTGATTTTTGAAACAGTAAATATTCAATATCCGAAGGACGTCTTAATTTCTGCTCTGTATTTTACTAAAGTCTCAAAAATGATATCCAAGAAAAAATAACAGTAAAGAAAAACAGTAGAAGAAAATGTTACGGTTTAATCTGAGGATATTTTTAGCTTATAAATTGAGGTTAACGAAAAGGAGATGAAACTGAAATCGGAATGAAGATGTTTCACAAATGATATGGTATTATGTGGTCTAATTTCTAAGTAACTTCATCTCTATGAATATATTTTTCAGTGATAGGGTAATGCATTTTTTTATTACATTTATTCAAATTTCAATCCATCTTTTCAAGCTACTCGGGTTTTTAAATGGTTTGCATGGTTCACAAAAGAAAGCCAGAAGTAGAGAATATTTGAACTTTTAAAATCCTCACTTTGATTCATACTTACATCTGGTAATTGTAATTTATACTTTCTCCGTTATTTTCTAAATGCAACATTGGATTTTTTTCACTATTCACATGTTTTATTTTGACTCTACTTTATTATTTAATTTATTACAAATTAAATTTCAAAAAAAATATTTTTAAATTGCTCTCATTTTAATGTTTCAAAATATATATTTTTAATTTTTTTACTAATAAGGTATAAGAGATATTAATGGTTAAACTTGTGTGTTGGCAAACATGAAAAGTGGACCATTGCATTTTAAAAAGAACGAAGGAAGTACTACATATTTATCAAAATATTGATATACACTTACATTAGGTTGTTTATTTTTTCATTTAAGTAATTAATTTTGCCTGCTATATTTTAAAATATCATCTTTTTTTAACGATTGTATTTGTTAAAACCTGGGGTTCCATCTTAAAAGATCAACCTCATAGGAGGAGTAACTCATGTCTTAATATAGCACTTTGTTGATTCAAACTTTTCCGGTGTGGGATTCTAACACCCCTCCTCACGACCAGATACTTCATCTGGATCGTGTCGTCAGTCATTTTTTCGTCGGATCGTCATTGTCATTTTTTTAATCGTGTCGTCATTTTTCCATAAGGGGGCCCACACCATGGTTATGGATCAGTTTGGCTCTGATACCATGTTAAGACTTGGGGTTCCATCTTAAAAGGTCAACCTCAAAGGAGGAGGAGCTCAAAGCCTTATATAGTGGTTTATTGTTTTATAGCTTTCCAGTGTGGGACAAATACTCTAACACGCCTCCTCAACCCGAACCGGTCTGGATAATATCGGGGTGTATAAATGGGCCAAACAGACCCTTAACAAGCTACCCGTAATCATGGGTGCTAAACAAGCTGTCAAACCACAACCGGAATTGGCTCTGATATCATGTTAAGACTCAGGGTTCCATCGTAAAAGGTCAACCTGATAGGAGGAGTAACTCAAGTCTTAATATAGCACTTTGTTAATTCAAACATTTCCGGTGTGGGATTCTAACAGTATTATTTATCATTTTCTCTTTTTATTATTTTAAAATATCATCTTTTTAAATATATTATTGTGCATCACATGAGTAATATTCATGTGCATCGCACGAGTAATATACTAGTTTTATGAGACAGTGAAATATTTTGATACTATACGGAAAGTATCAATTCTTCAAAATTTTCAAGGAATTCAATACTTTTCAATACGATATGTGCAGTATATAGAAATTTTGATAATTCGTAAAAAGGATGGATTAGTAGTTGGCATTTTATACTCCATATTTTTTAATACGAAGTACATACTACGTACTTGTATTTTTTAGAGTATACACATTACCTGGACATGTTTTTGAACTCGCTTAGAATTCTCACAAATTAAAATAAAAAGAAAATGAAATAAAAAGATAAAAGAAAAGCGCTCCGTATAATCTCCGTGTATGGTTGGAATATATAAATATTTTCTGTATGATGTGTATACACATTACCTGGTCACCTTCCATGTTCTTGCAAGTTGGAAGACCTGAACTTAGTAAAACTAGATTCTTGAGCTTCAAATTCCACATGAGTTTATCACAATGTAATGTTTTCCGGCTAAAGTTGAAAGATTTTAACGGATCCTAAGAGAAGCATCGTAAGCCTCCAAATCTTTTCATTTGAATTCACTCATTTATTTTCAATTAATGATTGTGTTCTTCATGATATTGTTCATCAAGATGGTATTTCCTGATCCAGGAGAGTTCAAAATTAAAAGCTTGTTGTTTAGGGTGTTATTTATTTATAGCTGCAAACCTCTAATGAACTCTTTAAAAAATTGTTATTCTGCGTTTGTTTGGGATTGATTCTCTGGGTGAAGAGTCGGTCTAGTTGCTAACTTGTAGGGTTTTTTAACAAGAGAGCTATAGGTAGGTAAGCAAGAAGGAGAGATGCAAAACGTAAGGTAAAGGACTCTCCATCTCTAGGAAGATTGTGTCCAGAATCTGGTAATCTAAGTCTTGTTTCTCCTGGTTGACTTATAGCATGTGCTTTATTACAGGCATTCATTGACTCCCTCCTTTAGCCGTTTCAAGGTTACTTGAAATGGTCATGTCTTGCCCCTCCAGTGTAGTGAGTAGTGACAGCTCCCATATTACAAGCACAGGGCCGACTTGAGCATTTTGGCTATCGAGTGATTCTTTAGAAGAATGAACTTCATCCATATGAATTTATAGCTTCGTCAAAAGGTTTCTTCTCTGATTCTCCTGTTCGTTGAATCACGGGACAAAGGGAGAGGTTTTGGTCCTTCGCAACTTTGCTCTCAACGCCTCTACGATATCTTATATGGAGTAGTTCGTAAGGTATTGTTTTATACGCATTTGTGCTAGTATATTACCCGTGCGATGCACGGGAATATTACTCATGCGATGCACAGGAATATATTAAAAAGATGATATTTTAAAATAATAAAGAGAAAATAATAAATAATACTGTTAGAATCCCACACCAGAAAAGTTTGAATCAACAAAGTGCTATATTAAGACTTGAGTTACTCCTCCTATCATGTTGACCTTTTAGGATGGAACCTCGGGTCTTAACATGATATCAGAGCCAATTCCGGTTGTGGTTTGACAGCTTGTTTAGCACCCATGATTACGGGTAGCTTGTTAAGGGTCTGTTTGATCCATTTATACACTCTGATATTATCCAGACCGGTTCGGGTTGAGTGGGCGTGTTAGAGTATTTGTCCCACACCGGAAAGCTATAAAACAATAAACCACTATATAAGGCTTTGAGCTACTCCTCCTTTGAGGTTGACCTTTTAAGATGGAACCTCAGGTCTTAACATGGTATCAGAGCCAAACCGATCCATAACCATGGTGTGGGCCCCCTTATGAAAAAATGACGACACGATTAAAAAAAATAACAATGACGAACCGACGAAAAAATGACTGATGGCACGATCCAGTCGAAGTGTCTGGTCGTGAGGAGGGGTGTTAGAATCCCACACCGGAAAAGTTTGAATCAACAAAGTGCTATATTAAGACATGGGTTACTCCTCCTATCAGGTTGACCTTTTAGGATGGAACCCCAGGTTTTAACAAATACCATCGTTAAAAAAAGATGATATTTTAAAATATAGCAGGCAAAATTAATTACTTAACATGAAAAAATAAACAACCTAATGTAAGTGTATATCAATATTTTGATAAATATGTAGTACTTCCTTCGTTCTTTTTAAAATGCAATGGTCCACTTTTCATGTTTGCCAACACACAAGTTTAACCATTAATGTCTTTTATACATTATTAGTAAAAAAATTAAAAAAATATATTTTGAAACATTAAAATGAGAGCAATTTAAAAATATTTTTTTAAATTTAATTTGTAATAAATTAAATAATAAAGTAGAGTCAAAGTAAAACATGTGAATAGTGAAAAAGAAAATCTAATGCTGCATTTAGAAAAGAACGGAGAAAGTATAAATTACAATTACCAGATGTAAGTATGATTCAAAGTGAAGATTTTAAAAGTCCAAATATTCTCTACTTCTGGCTTTCTTTTGTGAACCATGCAAACCATTTAAAAACCCGAGTAGCTTGAAAAGATGGATTGAAATTTGAATAAATGTAATAAAAAATGCATTACCCTATCACTGAAAAATCTCTACAAACTAATAAAGGTGAATGAAGGTTGACCTGTATTGGGTATAGATTTTTTGTTGGTAGTCTTATGAGCTGTGTTGACATGTACATTATGCTTAAATGTTGGTAAACTTTGCAATTCGTCTGCCTTATATCTCCCGACAGTGTGCTGACTCCGCTACCTCCATTATTACCATTCCGTTTGTGATTCCCATCGGCCCAACTTTAGCCGCATACACTGAGCCGCACACGCAGGTTCCTTCTCTTGCTCCATCTCGATTCGCGCTCTTCGGTCGCGCAGGTTTACGTCGCTCATCCCTTCGCCTTCCTCGTAGGTCAGTATTCATTAATCTCGCATTTATCTCTTTGTAACTGCAAATCGATCCTCTCCTCTGCAGTGCGGGTTATGGAATTCATATTGGCACGCCCAACCTCGATCCTTCCCTCCCATGGCCCTATAAATGCATCTTATTCAATTGGCAGAGGATTTTCGCCACCTGCACTCACTTTCCCGGTCTGTCTTCTGTCCATGTTTGAGTTTGTACTGCCTTTCTTTCTGTCTGTGCTTTGAAGTCCTTGTTCATGAAGTCTTTGTTCTTGGATTTGACAAAGTATTTATGTGTACTCTTGAATTCTATTATACTTATATCTCCCAGTTTGTTGAATTCTATGTTTACGCTTTTGGCTCTTGGAGTTGTTGATTCTAGAGGTAAAGAAAGGGCATTAGGTGTTTGTTAAATTGTCTAAACAAGATTCACTACACCTGACTAATTAATGGATGCTTTGATCATTGACTAATATATGGATGCTTTGATCATTTACCTCTTTTTTGTGAGTTTATAGAATTATATTTTTAGGGCCTTAGACCTTTGGCTCTTGGAGTTGTTGATTGCTAGAGAAAAAGAAAGGGCATTAGGTGTTTGTTAAATTGTCTAAATGAGATTCGATCACACTAATTTATGGATGTGTGTTCATGTTCTATGCCATGTATTCATGATTATAAAAATGTTAGTTTTTTTTGTTTCTTTGATTAGAAGTTATTTGATTCTAGCGAATCCATATCTGGTTTAACCTATATATAATCTATATTTAAATGTAACTTTGTTAAGTTATCGTCTCTAAACCTGTCAATAAAATCAATAATTTTTCAACCCTCAAACAGAGCAACAACCGAACAAATACGCAACCTGAAGGGAATTTTAGGGATGGAAATAAAAACTGCAAATTGATCACAAGGCCGGAGTTAGTTTTCCTCTTTTTCTAAAAAACCCCTATGAAATCATAATATACTTTAAAAATAATCAGTGCCAAGAGTGAGTGGATGTCTTATTATTTCATACATAAATGAATGCTATGTTTATATAAGCAATTGGTGATTGGATAAATCAAAACATTTAACATATCTAAAAAAACTCACATTTATTCTCCAAACTTTCTGAAGTCCATGACCTCATAGGGTAAAAAAAATGAAGAGTAGCTAAATGAAAGAAGTGAAGCACAATGCACCGAAGGGGATCCAAATACGTGACAGGGGAGGCCGGGTGATTGAATAGGACTTGCTAACTGATCATACTATTCATTAAGTCGCTCTTTCCGCATCTCTACTTTCAATAAGAAGTGTTCATTTGTCGAACACGGGTTCCAATACCAATAGATGTTTCCATAAGAGAGAATAGAGTGATGTTTATAGAAGACGAATAAGACGAGAAAGGCAAATAGGGCAATGGCTTCGGTTAGAGCAGCTTTTTTCTCTTCTCAATTCTTCAAAAGTATTGACTCGCGATCAGGAACATGCTATGGATTAAGGCGAAGGAACATCCAAACAAGAAATATGACCCAGAAAGCATTGGTTTTTGTCCAGTGGTATTTCTTTCCATTGCTTTCCCAAGAAGGGCTCTCGTGTTCATACCTTTTTTATAAGGGGTCTCGGCTTAGACCCCTTATAAAAAAGTGTTGCTCTACTAAAAGAAACTAAAGCTTCACTAAGCCAAAAGAGTTCTGAATCAATATAGCACTAAAAAAAGCTTACACAATATCATTAAGTATTTAAGTTACTTTTGTAATGTATTATATATTTCTGAAAAGACGGAAACTACAACACATTAAAAGTCAAGTGAATAAAAATATTAGTTATGTACTAAAATTGGCTTGAGTTAAATTAAAAATTAGAGCAGAAAAATTATTGTCTATCATACCTCAAGAATCCACCAACCATCATATTCCACTTTAGCCTAAAGTCGTGGTTCAAAATTGTTGTTGTGTTAGATGATTTTATCTGGACGAATGATCCACACAAATATGATTAAGAGAACCACATTAATAATAGCTTTAATTCAATTAAAGCTATTAATGTACAGTCTTTAATTCAATTAATAGACAGTTTGTTTTTAGTTAAATGTACTTCGAACCATTGCCAGTTTGGGGATTCCATGAAGGAATGTCCCTATGAGTGCGAAGTTCATTTCTTTAGCCAAGGAGACAATTTCTTCTTCTGAAAAAGAAACTGTCGGCATTCCGTTGAGACGTGACGGCTGTTTTAAGGGAAAAGATGGGTTAGGCTGTTTGAGGATCTCCGCGAAAGATCTTGTGTGGTGGTTAGTGTCTGTTCGTGGCTGTTTGTAGGAGTAGGTGCCTCTGGAGTTGACAGTTCGGCCGGCGTTGAGTGGTTGGGCTGGTGTGGTTGTGATTATTGTAGCTTTGTCTGCTGCTGTGGATGAAAGAGTTGCTGCATAAGAGACTTTAAGGGGCGGTGCTGGGATTGAGCTGCGGTTTTGGGCAGACGTAGCTGTTGCTGCAGTTTCTGGAACGCTGGAGATGTTCTGGTTGTTCTTCATCTGCTGTTGTGCCAGTTGGGTTCCAATCTGCTGCGTGCGTAGTTGAAATAAAAAAGAACATATGGAAATATCTAATAATTATTAAAAGAAATATGTAGAGGAAAGATATAATACAACATAGTAGTTTGAATACAATTAGATAGAGAGTATTGAGGAAGGGTGCAGTGTCACGCCCCGGACCTACCCGGACACGTCAACAACCCGCCGTACAGGCCGAATGGATTGAAGAGAGGGTAGGGGAGAGGTCATTTTCAACCAACACAATGATTTGTGTGGGATAGGACCCTAGCATGGGTTTTTGTCTCAAAGGAGACTTCCTCCCTCTCCCTTGTGCGTACCAGCACGTTTAGCTGCTCCCCTCCCCCATTATTTGATCAATCAGCACCCATAAAAACGTGGGGTGGCCCCCACTTATGTGGGAGGTCATCCCATTACGTCCCGGTGTGTACAATCGGCCCCGAAAGTTGTATTTCTCGGTCCGTTTTAATCATATTTTATTTTATCGGGCCAAATAAAATATATCACGTGTTCCTAATAATTATGGGCCTTTAGAATAGATGTATATTCCCCAACATTAATTTAGGGGTCTCCGAAACTCATTTCGGGCTGTTATCCGTTAAATTGCCAATACCGGTAATTGGGCCCTGTTTGACCAACCGGTCAAATCCATGCCTTTCTTATGGCCCTATAGAATATCCACCCCCATATAGGTGTCATCTAGACCAAGATGAATATAATATGTGGTTCGGGAATTATCGGGCGGTCCACGTTCCCGCTGTGGGCCCCACATGCAATTTACTATTCACGTAAAAGGAATGATGAAATTTAACAATTACACAAATTCATAAATCATCTTTCAAGGTTTATTACATAATTTACTAAAAGTAAATATGCTCGGGGTCGGTGTTACAAGTTCAGCCCCCCCCCCCCCCCCCTTAACGGGAATTTCGTCCCCGAAATTCACAATGCTCATTCAAACAAAAACGCGTATTGCTCTTTCATCAAAGCTTCCGTCTCCCAACTTTCCTCCTCAACTCGGTCACTTTTCCAAAGGATTTTAACCATTGGAACTTTCTTGCTTCTCAATTTCTTGACTTGCCTGTCAAGTATCTTCACCGATTGCACGGCATAATTCAAGTCTTCCCGTATTTCCACGGGTGGTTTTTCTAATACATGAGATGGATCCGGCATATACTTCTTAAGCATGGACACGTGGAATACGTTATGTATCTTCTCCAATTCTGGAGTCAACTGTAATCGGTATGCCACGGCCCCAATCCTCTCAAGAACCACGAATGGCCCTATGAATCGTGGGTTAAGTTTCCCTCGGCTCTGAAATCGGATGATTCCCTTCCAAGGGGAAACTTTCAGAAATACTTCATCTCCCACCTTAAACTCCAAGGATCTTCGGCGCTTATCAGCATAACTTTTCTGTTTATCCTGGGCCGCCTTAAGTCTCTCACGAATCATCTTCACCTTAGACTTGGTGATCTCCACCAATTCCGTGCTCTCGAGTTTGGCCATGCCAACCTCATCCCAACACAATGGTGTACGACATCTCCTCCCATACAATGCCTCGTATGGAGGCATGCCTATACTTGCCTGATAACTGTTGTTATAGGCAAACTCCACAAGTGACAAATGGTTGTCCCAACTCCCTTGGAACTCCAATGCACAGGCTCTCAGCATATCCTCTAATATCTGTATAACCCGCTCAGATTGCCCATCCGTTTGTGGATGAAAAGCTGTACTGAATTTCAACTTTGTCCCCATAGATTCTTGGATTTTCGGCCAAAATCGTGATGTGACGCGGATCTCTATCGGATACAATGGTTATAGGAACCCCATGTAGCCTCACGATCTCGTCCACATACAACTTGGCTAACCTCTCCAGTGCATAGGTAGTGTTGATAGGTAGGAAGTGTGCACTCTTCGTGAGCCTATCGACCACAACCCATACGGCATCATAGTTCTTAACCGTTCGTGGCAGCCCCACCACAAAATCCATAGTCACGTGCTCCCACTTCCATTCAGGAATGGAAAGTGGCTGTAGTAACCCAGTCGGATGTTGATGTTCTGCCTTAACTTGCTGACAAGTAAGACACCTACTGATGTACTCGGCTATTTCCCTCTTCATACCAGACCACCAGTAACTTTCCTTCAAATCACGGTACATCTTCGTGCCTCCCGGGTGCATGGCATACGCCGACGAATGAGCCTCCTCTAAGATGGACTTTCAGAGCTCATCATCCAACGGTACACACACTCGGTCACGAAATAATAAGAGACCATCGTCTCTCTCCTTGAAATCCTCAACCGGTCCCGCTAGCATGCGTTCACGGATCTTCATAAGTTCTTCATCGGCTTCTTGACCCTTCTTGATTTCATCAAGTAATGTAGGTCTCACCTCGAATCTAGCTAACAAGGCACCATCGCTAGATACCTCCAATTGGGCTCTCAATGCCCTCAAGCTAGTCAATAATGCCCCAGATGAATTCTTTCGGCTCAGGGCATCCGCTACCACGTTGGCTTTACCGGGGTGGTACTCGATAACTAGATGGTAGTCTTTTATCAACTCCATCCACCGTCTCTGTCTCATGTTTAACTCTTTTTGAGTAAACACGTATTTCAGGCTTTTGTGGTCAGTGTATATATGACATGTTTCCCCGTAGAGATAATGTCTCCAAATCTTCAACGCAAATACCACTGCCCCCAACTCTAAATCATGAGTAGGATAATTTACCTCATGCTTCTTCAACTGTCGTGAAGCATAGGCAATCACCCTCCCATCCTGCATTAAGACACATCCAAGCCCTTGGATGCTCGCGTCACTATAGACATCGTACCCCATACCCTGTCGGGGTAATGCAAGTACTGGTGCCTCGGTCAATCTCTTCTTCAGTTCAAGGAATCCCTTCTAACATCGGTCATCCCATACAAACTTGGCCCCCTTTCGAGTGAGCTTTGTCAATGGTGATGCCAAAACTGAGAACTTCTCCACAAATTTTCGGTAGTACCCTGCCAATCCAAGGAAGCTACGAATTTCCTTGACGTTCTTTGGCCTCTCCCATTCAGTAATGGCCTCAATCTTCTTGTTATCTACGGCAATCCCTGATCCTGAAACCACATGCCCGAGAAAGCCAATCTCCCTTAGCCAAAATTCACATTTGGAAAACTTGGCATAGAGTTGCTTCTCCCGTAGTGTCTCAAGAACAAATATCAAGTGCTCCTCATGCTCTTCTTCACTCTTCGAGTAAATCAAGATATCATCTATGAACACAATCACAAACCGGTCCAAGTATTTATGAAATACCCGGTTCATCAAGTCCATAAATGCCGCCGGGGCGTTGGTTAGCCCAAACGACATAACTAGGAACTCGAAATGACCATACCTTGTGCGGAATGCACTCTTCGGTATGTCATCCTCCTTTATTTTCAGTTGGTGGTACCCCGACCTCAAGTCGATCTTCGAAAACACCGTCGCTCCTCGGAGCTGATCAAACAAGTCATCAATCCTAGGCAAGGGATACATATTCTTGATTGTGACTTTGTTCAGTTGACGATAATCAATGCACATTCGAAGTGTCCCATCTTTCTTTTTCACGAAAAGGACCGGTGCTCCCCACGGAGAGTGACTCGGCCTTATGAAGCCGTTGTCCAATAGCTCTTGCAATTGGGTTTTCGACTCGTTAAGTTCAGCGGGTGTCATTCTGTATGGCGGTATAGAGATTGGTTTGGTGCCAGGTTCGACCTCGATCACAAACTCAATCTCCCTATCGGGGTGGAAGTCCCGGCAAGTCTGTTGGGAAGACATCCGGATACTTGCACACAACTCTCACATTGTTGATGTCTACCTCTTCTTTGGTTTTGTCCACCACATAAGCTAGATATGCGTGGCATCCTTTTCTCATCATATTCCTCGCTCTCACAGCGGATATGATACAACTGTTTGATTTGCCTCTATCTCCCTCGAAGCATAAGGTCAACCCTTCATCGCTTTCGAGTTCGAGAACCTTCGTATAACAATCAATCCTAGCATGATGCTTCTCTAGCCAATCCATCCCGAGGATCGCGTCGAACTCGATCATGCTCAGCGGTACGAAGTCACACGTCAAGTTCTGTCCCTCCACCTCCACCTCACACGATGGATAGTGGCTATCCCTTTCGATATCATCCCCTAGAGGCGTGGATACCAATAGGGTTTGAGTCATCGGTACAAGTGGTCCGTTGAATCCGCTGGCGAACGCCTCACTCACAAATGATCGTTGCGCCCCGGTATCAATAAGGATCCTTGCGTCTCTCCCGTTTATCTTTAGTGTTCCTACATTCATAAGTAATGTAAGACACACTATCTAATCAATAGGCTTGTTTCTTAAGTCGTAGAGTATGTTGGTCGTGTTTCGGGTGGAGTCCGTTCGATACCCTTCCGAAATTTCCCGGTTTCTAGCCTTTAGGACCGTTCTAGGACTAAACCAGGTGAAAGTCGGCCGCTTTTCACGAAAGCCGGCCGGTTTTCGTCAGCGAGAAAAATCCCTTATATAAAATCACGAAAGCCGGGCGGCTTTCACGAAAGCTGGCCGGTTTTCGTCGCCGTAGTTTTATTCATTGAACGGATTTCAAGGTCGGCCGGTTTCTACGAAACCCGACCGGGTTTCAGCAGCGCATGAATCCCCAGGCCTAACGAAAGCCGGGCGGCTTCCATGAAAGCCGGGCGGCTTCCATGAAAGCCGGGCGGCTTTCAGCTGCGAGAAATTTTCTAGGTGAGGCATTTATGAAAGCCGGCCAGTCTTTACAAAAGCCGGCCGGTTTTTGGTTGCGAGGATTTTCCTGATTAAATGTTGACGAAAGCCGGGCGGTTCTCGGTGGAAGCCGGCCGACATTCGTTGCCGTGGTAATATTCCCAATAATTCAAGACGAAAGCCGGGCGGCTTTCGTCAATGCCGGGCGGCATCCGCCCAGGGCGAGGATTCTCCTCCCCTTTTCCCCTTCAAACCCGACCAAACTCGTCGGGGTTATAAATTTACAAGTTCCACACTCTTATTGTTTATAATAGACTAATACGTGAGTTTAAGGAATTACCCGCAACGGAGTCCGGGTTGGCACGAGCATCCGCCTCCGTCATAGCATAGACCCGAGCTTGGGTCCTTCCTTGGTTTACGGAGGGCGCGTTGCTTGCACTCGCCCCACCGTGCCCACCGCTAGCATTTGGTGCTCCGGTTCGGTTCCTGCTCACCGTCGCTGCACTACTCGGTTTGGCCCCCATGGCTCGCCCAAGTTGTGGGCAACTCACCTTCAAATGCCCGACCTCCCCGCATTGATAGCATCTCGGGGGATCACGGCACTTGCCAAAGTGGTTCTTCTTGCAGTTGCTGCACTTCTTCACGCCTGAGCCTTGTGACACAGAGCTTTGCCCGCTCGGGCCTTGATTTCCCCTTACTGGTGGTGCAGGGGTTTTGAAGGATCCGCCTCCCCTGTGGTTCCCCTTCTTGTTGGAACCTTGAGGGCCATGGTTCTCCCATTTTCTTTTCTTTGCCTCCTCGGCATTCCTTCATTTTCCTTCCTCCCACTCTTTCTCCCCTTTCAAGCCTTGTTCAACCACTTGACTAAACGTCATATTAGGCAATTGTGTTGCCCTCTCGCGTATGTCAAGGTCCAAGGCATCCCAGAAATGGTTCACCATCCGGTTTTCATCACAAATGTACTCCGGTATGAACTCAGCAAGCTTTCTGAACTTGTGCTCAAGTTCCTTCACCGTACATTCACCTCCTTGGGTCAGATTCGTGTACTCCCTCCTCTTCAAGTTCACCTCGAAGTCGGAGTAGTATTGGCTGAAGAACTCCTGTCGGAAATTCTCCCAAGTGACGGCCTCGATGTACTTCCCTTTTGTTCCATCCCACCACGTGGACGCCATGCCTTCTAGTAGCCTCGTGGCTACTCTCAGCTTCATGTGGGGTGGTAGTTGCATGTCGAGGGCCGCCTCGTTAAATCTTTTGATCCACTCGGCCGCTACGGAGATGTCCCCCGTTCCATCAAACGGTTTACATCCCAAGTCTCTTGCCTCTTTGAGGTACTTTGAGATCCTTATTATAGGGACCTCAGCACCTCCCCCTCCTCGGGGTTCTATGATCTCCCTAGGAGTCACACGGCTTCCTCTTCTTGAAGCCCCTTCCAAAGCACGCCTTGCCTGGCGCCTTTGGCGATCTTGGTGGTACTGTCGGAGTAGTTCCTCTATTCTTTCAAGAGCGTCATTATCGTCGCTCTCTTCGCTCACATCATCTTCCCCGTCATATGGGGTTTCTAACGGTTTGGTTACCGGTTGGTAAGTTGAATCCTCCTCGGACTCATATCGCCCATCATACGTCTCCACATGACCGTCACTCACCGTCAGTGAGTGGCCTGCACGGCCCTGTCCCCGAGACACCCTCGTCCCTCCCCGGCTGCCACATTGGGATCCTCCCGGTGCCTGGCCAGTCGGGTTCCGTCGAGTAACTTTCCCGGTACGTTCCATTTCTGAAAGAAATTTAGAATGAGTCATTAGACTCGTATCAAATGTCAATTGACGGATAGGCACTTAAAGACATCCTTTGGCTCAAATCACCGCCATACCAATTGCTAAGGGTACCATCTTAACAATTAGAGGCATTGCAACTCAAGTACCAAAAGTTCTATAAGTACAAAACTTTATGCTCATGGTTTTCAATTTCATTTTCAAAAAGACTTTTGAAGCTTGATTATGATGTTTATGAACTAAGGCTCTGATACCAATTAAATTTGTCACACCCCGGACCTAGGCGGACACGTCAACAACCCGCCGTACAGTACAAATAGTCAACCGCAGTCCAACTCATCCATACTATACAAGGCGTCATGAATATCATTCACACATAGTACATCCATAAACAGACATAATGTAAAACATTCATTTAAAACAGCGGAAGCATTAATACAATTGTTCAAGCCACACTTGGCATAACTAGGCATACAAGCCCCCAAAGTAATTATTAAAAAAATAATATCCATGAGCATTAACGTAATTGTTTTTAAAACAGAACGGAAGAAGCACGAACCACGTCTTCTCCCCTTGATCCTCCCGAAGCCACGGGCGATGGTAGCAACCTTCAAGTTCTACCTGAAACTGTGAGGTGGCCTCCCCCGTGAAGGGGAGGGCAGTACTTGGAAATATTTGACAAGTACAATAGCAACTATACTAAGTATGATCAACGTTTTAATTTCCAAGACCCTCAAAATAGGGTGATATCATAATATAAATAATAATTTATATTTCCCACCTATTATCTTTATAATAAGTGAATTTATTTATTTGTCGGTACACGACCCTTCTTATATGTTCCTTTTCATTTATCATTTGCGCAACCCAACCCTTGGGTCTTATTATTTCTACGGGACTTGCTACCGCTGTCTGAGACCTCATGAGGCTCCCGGTTCGGACTCCAACATCCCGCCCCTGGACTCATACCCATCATCCCGTAGGAAGGTAAGGCCCTTCGGGGTCCTATCTTATGTGTTACCGCTACCGGAACCTAGTTAGGTCTCCGATTCGGATTCCACCCTAACCCGTGATCACGATGTAAGTCCATGTTATCCAACCCCGCTCTCTAGAGTCGGGAAGGGCCATGGTCCTTACTATTTCCATAATTCGACCGGCTATCCACAAGGACTACCGAACACACCCGTATGCCAATCCTATACTTAGGATCAATTTAAGATTTGCATTAACTTGGGTATCCCTTAAGGCCTACCCCTAGTATAACTTAAAGTTCATACTTTCCTACCTTAAAGCATCCCTTAAGACTACTTAAGGCATAACATTTCACAATCCAACCTTAGGATCAATCTTTAACAACATTTCATTTTAATGTCCAACTAGTATCTTAATACTAGTCAAATTAATATCAACAAACCAAGTTCTCAACTCATAGTCATATAGACAATTCCAACTGATTTTCCTTTGAAAATATCATTTATCTCAATATTCAAAATATCACTTTTAATCACTCATACATATTCTAATATGGAGAAAAAGTATATTTCAACATATGTTTCATAATAAATTCCACATTCAAGTCAACATACTCATAACACATGAACATACACAATTTACTCTTAAATTTGTATATCATGCTCCTTTTTCTTTAGACATTTGGTCTTTTCATTTTTAGGCATTATTAATCATTAATAATCCATAAAAACACCTTTAATTACCTTCGGTAATCTCATGAAATTAACTCACTAATTATAAGCAATATAGTCAGTCATTCTCACCTTATGAAGTGCTGAAATAGTTGCCTTTGCCAAGCCCCTCGATCAATCCCCGTTCTAGGCCGATTGGAGGTGTAGAACTGAACTGTTGGGCAAAAGCCGGGCGGCTTTCACGAAAGCCGGGCGGCTTTCGTGGTCTGCAACTACGATTAGCTCCTTTGAAGTGGCGGTTTCCAGCGGTTTCGACTCCTATCGATTGGCTAACCCTCCTAAGTTAATTACCACCACTTTATATCAATATTCTACACTTTTAAACGTGTAGAACTCATGATTTAATCCACCATATGATTTCTTAAAAATCATGCACAATAAAACTAGTTAAAAGAGTAGAAATTGGGTTCTTACCCTCTTCTTCTAGCTTTTCTTCTTGGATCCTTCTCTCCTCTTGGTTTCTTCAGCTCCAGAACTTTGATAGCCTTTTCCCTGGACCTTATCTCCCTTGTGCTGGCCGAATGGATTGAAGAGAGGGTAGGGGAGAGGTCCTTTTCAACCAACACAATGATTTGTGTGGGATAGGACCCTAGCATGGGTTTTTGTCTCAAAGGAGACTTCCTCCCTCTCCCTTGTGCGTACCAGCACGTTTAGCTGCTCCCCTCCCCCATTATTTGATCAATCAGCACCCATAAAAACGTGGGGTGGACCCCACTTATGTGGGAGGTCATCCCATCACGTCCCGGTGTGTACAATCGGCCCCGAAAGTTGTATTTCTCGGTCCGTTTTAATCATATTTTATTTTATCGGGCCAAATAAAATATATCACGTGTTCCTAATAATTATGGGCCTTTAGAATAGATGTATATTCCCCAACATTAATTTAGGGGTCTCCGAAACTCATTTCGGGGTGTTATCCGTTAAATTGCCAATACCGGTAATTGGGCCCCGTTTGACCAACCGGTCAACTCCATGCCTTTCTTATGGCCCAATAGAATATCCACCCCCATATAGGTGTCATCTAGACCAAGATGAATATAATATGTGGTTCGGGAATTATCGGGCGGTCCACGTTCCCGCTGTGGGCCCCACATGCAATTTACTATTCACGTAAAAGGATTGATGAAATTTAACAATTAAGCAAATTCATAAATCATCTTTCAAGGTTTATTACATAATTTACTAAAAGTAAATATGCTCGGGTCGGTGTTACATGCGAGGTTAGTACAAGCAATAGAAAACACCAAAGACCTGGGAACACCCTTAAGAATTCACACCTTAGGTAAAGTGTCCCAAAAAATTCTCAAAAAACTATGAGAGGTAGCCCAAAGTATAGTAAACCCCCAGATATATTCAGTTGTAGCACCGCAGTAGCACAGAAGTCAGGAAAAAATCCTAATTAGTTCTGGTTACGGTAGCAGTCAGAAAGTCCGAAAATTTTGGAAGTGTTCCAAAAATTCCCAAAAAATTCTGGGATGTCCTCCTCAGTATGTTGAACAACCTGGTAGTGTTAGAACAGACAAAAGCCAAGCACAGGATGCAATACCCTAGAAAAGGTAGCAAAGAAACCAAGAAAACTAAAAGTGCTACTTCCCGGTATAGTTACTCGCCTGGAAATGTTAAATTAATCACAAGCAAAGTATGGAATGCAGTACGCAGGTGTAATTAGTATCAGGTGTACTGTAGCAATCTTCCAGGAAGTCTAGAAAAGATGAACAGTACCAAGCAAATGGGAACTTCCCAGAAAATTCTGAAAAAAGTCCTAGATACTCACCAAGTAGTAGCGAACACAGTAAAACAGATAGCAAACCAACCAGACCAGTGAAGAACTCAGAAAAAATTCAAACAGTAGACTGAACTGCGTTCCAAGCTACAGTGTCCAAGAAATTGGGGAAAATTTAAAATCTTAACCAAACTTGATGAAACCGGTAGCAATAGCTTCGTCTTGGTCAGATGGTTCCAATACAAGTCTCAGAATTCAATTTGAACGAGCGGATTTGGAGGAATCTGAAAGTCAACGCACTGTCGCTACACCATTGAAGATGACAAACTCTACAAACGATCCTATAATGGCACTCTCCTCCGATGCCTGCACCAGGAGGAGGCCGACCTGGCCATGGAAGAAGTTCATTGTGGCGTCTGCTCCTCGCACCAGGGCCCCTTCAGCATGTCCCGACGTCTCGTCGTCCAGGGCTTCTTCTGGCCGACGATGTCGCGAGACTGTGCGGACCTGGCCAGGAAGTGTACCACGTGCCAGGTGCTCCAGAAGGCCCCTGGTCGGCCAGCCGTCAACTACGCCCCCGTCAGCACCGCAATTCCATTCTCTAGATGGGGGATTGACCTGGTCGGCCCCCTGCCCAGAGCCGCCGGGAATAACCGCTACATCATCGTCGTCGTCGACTACTTCACCAAGTGGGTCGAGGCGGAACCCCTGGCCAGCATCACGGGGGCCAGATGCCAAAAATTTGTTTACAAGAACATCATCACACGCTTCGGCGTCCCCCAGGAGATTATATCAGACAACGGCACCCAATTCGAGGCAGCCCCTTTCCAGGAGCTCCTCCGGGAGTTTGGGGTGAATCATCGTTTCCCCTCCGTTGCCTACCCTCAGGGCAACGGGCATGTCGAGAACGCAAACAGAACAATCATGGAGGGGCTGAAGAAGAAGCTCCAGGCCGCAGGAGGTAGTTGGGTCGACGAGCTCCCCAACATCCTGTGGTGCTACAGAACCACGCCGAGGAGGGCGACAGGTGAAACGCCTTTCGCCCTATGCTACGGCTTTGAGGCAAAGGCGCCCACAGAAGTTGCCATCCCCAGCCGACGGGTGGAACAATACGAGCCTGACGCCAACGAAGAAAACATGAAGATTGACCTGCACCTGGTCGATGAGAGGCGTGAGCAAGCTTACGTCCGAGCAGAGAACTACCGGCGTCAAGTAAAGTCATACTATGACGCCAAGGTACGTTCCCGGGAATTTCAGGTGGGGGACTACGTCCTCCGCCGAAGGGAAGCAAGCCAGCCGACAGAGGGTGGCAAGCTAGCATTGAAGTACGAAGGGCCCTACATCGTCAGTGCCGTGGTCAAACCCGGCACCTACAAGCTTAAACGCCCGAATGGGTCCAATGTACCACGAACGTGGAATGTACACCATCTGGTGAAGTTTTATCAGTAATCCAAAGGAGGTGCAGACGGCGAAGCCCTCACCCCTTAACGGGTTACTGATTGAACACCACCCTCGGCCTCGAGCCACTTATGAATAAAATCACGTTCCTCTTGATTTTCTCTGGAATTTAAAGTAAAAACATTAGCAGGTGCCCTCATCGGCCACCTTAGAGCGAAAGGCTCAGGCATGGCCGACGTGGCCCCTTGCATTTGCAGCCTACGATCGACAAGATCAGGCGTTCCATTGTATTTTGTATCAGCGAAGGGCTCAGGCCTAGCTGAGAGAGCACATCGTCCTGACCCCGCAAACCTAGAAGTGAAACGCTCAGGTATGGCCGACGATGTCCCCAGGACGAGGGGCCCGCAAACGGCCCACATCTTGAAATGGGAAGCTCATCGCGTCGTCCACGCGCCAGATCGCATTACGACATGCCTGAAATAATGGTCGAGGTGACAAAATCCCAAAACTTAGGGATGGGCAACGACAGCCGTTGGAAACCGACCAAAAGTCTAGCCCGCGTCATAAATAGGCGACGGGACCCGCCCTGAGATCACGGACGTTATAAACGAAGTCCGAACCGGCTGAAGGACGAGCACACCCTTCGGCCGAAGCCTGAAAGAAGGATACTCCCCGAAAAAGGGGACGGAAACCAAAAAAAAGAAAAAAAATATATATAAAGGAAAAAGAGGGAAGCCGACGACCGTGCACACTAGCCGGCCTCGAGCAATGAAAAAATAAAATCCCCACAATTCAGGCCCAACTAGGCCAAGTACATATGAGTTGAACACAAGTGTAGTACCACTAACAGGTGACATGGACGATACGTCCACACACCACAAGGGAATGGTCAAGACCGAAGCATACGCCTATAAAACCCTAACCGAATCGGTTGGGTGACACGCGAGAGGTAACCTTCATCGGCCACAGCCCTTTGAAGCACCAACACTTGGTATGAAATAAAGAATTACAATCCTGAGGATGACCAGGACGAAGCGGGCACTTATCACACCCGAGGAAGAATCAAGCAATCAAGAAACAATCCCTACTGGCCACAACATCCCGGATGGCCGATACAGGCACTGAAACCCAGGCTGTTGGTCAAGCGAAAGTTCTTTGGGGATTTGCCCAAGTGTTAAAGAAAAAAAACACTTAGAGAAAAATCGGAGGAAAAAGGTTCCTCAAGAAGGAACTATGTCTTAGCCGATGAAGCTAGGGCCATCCCTTTGGGAAAACAAGGGGCACCCTCATCGGCCACAGGCCATACCTTGGCCGATGAGGGTAGGGCCGTCTCTTAGCCGGCAGCGGTACCTCAAAGAAGGAACTATGTCTTGCATTTATACTTAGAAAAATCTCTAAGTACTCAAATGGAGAAACTCTAGACGAAGCGGGTACCTGTATACTCGAAGGCCGTTAGCTACCTACGCCTTGCATGTGTACTTAAAAAAAATTCTAAGTTCAAAAAGGTAAGTTTAAGGTGCCCTTATCGGCCACAACACAAGGATCCAGGCCGACCTTCCTGATCAGATCAGAAACAAGGGAACACGACGGCCATAAAAAACACTGGGCCGACAACGACATTGGTTCAGCACTTAGGGAATTTCCCAAATCATTGGTCAACACTGAGAGAGATTCAGCACCAGGACGATGAGGACACCATTCACTTGAAGTTAGACACTTAGAAAAATTCTAACAAAAAAGAAGTAGTGGGACAACGCCAGGACGCAACGGACACCTCATCATGCCCGCCTCAGTCAGGACGGAAAGAAAGACACTAAGACATATCCTATCTAAGTGGATCCAAACCACTCAGGATATTTTTTGAACAAATCCCAAGCGTTACGACAGCAAAGAAATTCAAGGCCGACCAGGCCACCAGACTAAATGCCCTACCTCACGGACGTAGCAGACACTCGCGGGTGACCTAAGTTGTAACTTTTACACTTAGACAAATTTCAGAATTGAAATGGCAAAAGGCAATAAACACACAAGAAATTCAAAGCCGAGCAGGACAACAAAATTTTCATTCATAAGCAATTCAGTACAATGGTGGGCGCTTCGGCCATTACATCAATTGGGCAAAAATAGAAAACTAATTACAAGGGAGCGGGGAGTAGCCGATCAAGCTTCTTGGGCGCCTCCATCCTCGGCTGGCTCTTCGACATCTTCGGCTCCCTCCTCGGCCTCAGTCTCCTGGTCAGCGGCAGCCGCAGAACTGGTGGCATCGTCCAGAAAGTCAAACTCCGTGTAATCCGGCTCGCCGAGGCCGGAACTCTCGATTGGGGACTCCCGCTCCGCAAGAGGAAGCTTGGCCTGCTCCTCGGGATCTTTCATCAGCTTTGGAAGCTTCAAGTTCCGCCTAGCCCACCCGAAGGTATAATTCATGGCTTTGAGGGCGCGAGATAGCCGCCGACACAGGAGCCTCTGCATCCGCTCCTGACCCATGTTATAGTACACGGCCATCTCCCTGCTAAAATACTCCTGGCCGGCGGGGGAGTTCATTCCCCAATCTTCAAGCCTGGCGGCCACCACTTCATAGCACCAGGAGAGCCGCTCATCGGCCTTCCACCCCTCGGCCAAGAACTGCTTAACGGCGTCATCAGCAGCCTTCACAGCGGCAGCATCGGCCTCCGCTTTTGCCTTCACGGCTTCATCGTTTTTGCGCCGTTCGGCCTCAAGCGCCCTCTGGTTCTCCTCGAGTTTGGCCAGGGCATCGTCCTTGGCTGCAGTGGCCTCGTCGGCCCTCTGTTGCAAGGCCTTGGCATCCTCCCGGAGCCGATCCAAGCAGGCTACCGCCTCATCGGCCGAGGCAGCCTTCTGTTCAAGCTCTTTCAGACGAGCAATTTCCCGGTGCTGCCTCTTGTGGCTCCCCATGAGCATGAAGGCACCCTGCACAAAAAAAGTAAACAAGGACTCAGACAAATGATTCCACCCGGACGACGAGAAAAACGACAAATAAGAGGAAGGGAACTAAGTTGGACGAGGTGGTCCATCCCGCCTTCGTACACTTTGACGTCCCCAAGCCTCTTCAGATAGGCCCTATCTTTGACCGGCATGGCCTGAGCCAGCACATCGTGGCCGAGGACGACATCATCAAAAACACCCCCGCCGACGGGGTATTCCACCATCTTCTGGTAGGTGGCGGCGGCAATCTCCTTGCCGGCCCTCTTCGTCCGTGGCTCCTAGACGAGAGGGAGCGATTGGGCAGCATCGCTTGGAGCAGCAGTGAGATCCACAACGGGACCACTATCGTCCACACTTGGGACGGTCAGAGTGCCGGCCTCAGTAGCATGGGAAGGAGACGGTGCCCTCTTCGTCTTCTTGGTGACGTTCAGGCCGGTCTCAGTCAATTTCTTCTGGCCGTCAGTGGGAGGCCTTTTCTTCTTGGACTGGGCAGGTTTCGGGGCCGCACCAGCAGTAGTCCCGCCTCCCTCGGCCACGGCACGCCTGGCCGCCTCGGCCGCCTTTGCAGCCAACTCCTCGGCCGCCTTGGCCTTGGCTATAGCCATAATTGAACGGCGATCCATGACAAAATCTACACAAAGGAAAACGAACAGATTAGCAAGGCAAAAGAACAAATTATAAAGGAAGAAAGCCGAAGAAATAATTACCATCGGCCTCAGCAGGAATGCCCAAATCCGGGCCGTCGGCCTCTTCGAAGGTAGTGGTCATCCTCGGCCAAAGTTGGATATCATCCTCCTTGTCGCCATATACATGATATCTTAAGAAGCCGAGGGCGGTCATCTTGTATTCAGTGATATAATCCTTCACGCTCCTCGGCCCCCCTTCCAAGAACGCCTCCACCTGAGCGTCCAAGATAGAACTCTTCGGCGGGTCGTGCAGATTGAACTTCCCGGTATGGCCAAGAGAGGGAAACTCGGTGCCATTCTCACCGAGGGATACAAAAACGAACTTGCTCTTCCACCCATGAATGGACGAAGGCAAATCCGTGAAGCTCCTCTTCTTCGGCAGCTGTTGGAGAGTAGCATAGGCCGTACAATTTTTGTGGCTTCCTCGGCCTATCTGATACATATTCATGAACAGAGCCGTCGTCGGCCTGTAGCCCAGCTCCTCACAGCGGAGCAAAAACCCCACCATCAATGAGTAGCTGTTCGGCGTCAGCAAGGCCGGAGGGAGCCCCACCATGTCAAGGTATTCGGTGATGAAGGGATGAAGGGGAAACCTCAGCCCCTTGGCGAAACTCATCGGGTATACTCAAAAGTATCCCGGTGGCGGATGAAGAACATGGTCCGTCGGCCTGGGTGCCCTGACCCGCCCGAACGGCCCCACGTACATCTGGGCAACCAAGTAGTCGGCCGCGCTGCTCTCCGGCTTGATCAGGAAGATGTTTGTGAGATCCAGGTAGGAGATGCCCGGCCCACTCTTCGGCCTCCTTATTCTCTTCGGCTTATCTGCTCCCTTCAAGGCAGACACCGGTCTCGGGCATGGAATAACAGCGGAAGTGGACGCCCCGTCCACCACTCGGGACGCACCTGCGTCCTCACCTTTTGAAGATGAGGCGGACTCCTCGTCCTCAACTTCGTCGTCCACCGGCTCTCCGGACTTGTAAGGACTTAAGTGTTGTATCTCCTCCTCGAACTCCTCAAGCACCTCATAGTCGAGTGACCTAGTGGAGGGCTGGTCGTCGTATAGATAGTAGTCTTCGTTTAAGCTCTTCATCATAACAACTACTACGAGCTTAAGGGGAATAACTAAGGATCTAAGGGTGTTCAAGCGCTTAAAACTAGATCACTAGCCTAGGAAGCAAAGTATGCAAAGTACAGAAGATTGCGATGAACACTAACCTTGAACACGAAGAATACGAAGAACACGAGCTTGGGAGTTTATCTCTCTAG